CACATCCTCCATGTTGACCCTTCTACTCCAGGAGGCAACAGTCCTCTGCCCTAATCCAACCAGGTCCAGGTCTGGGCAACTAGACAGCCCGTCCGCCCAGAGCCAGCTGCAGTTATCCAAACCAGCCATCCTAAACCTGCCCGGTCAGCTTCCTCTGCCTCACCCATTTCTTCCTGCAAAAATTATAATCAAAGCTCATGCCTTCCCCTTGCTCTCTCCACCTCCTGAGTGATCCTGTGCTCCCCACCGTCCCTGCAATGACCACAGGCCCCTTCTCCTTGGGAACTGAGACTAACCGATTATTGTTTCAGTGGTTACTGATCTGTTGGCTTTATTGTTCCCCATTTTACAAATGAGAAATAGAAAGACAGGTTAAGTCATTTGCCTTAGCTTGAGCAACTAGGCCCCCTTTTCTAGGTTCTGTTCCCCTAAAACCAGGGTCCTCTGAGCTGGTTTGGTTCAGGGTCAAAAGATAAACAGACACCCCTGTATGAACTTATTCCTAGTAAAACCAAATGCATTTTAAATCATACTGACCCAAAGAGCCTGTGAACATAATAAAACAGGTGTTTTGTGCCACTAAAATCAGGGGTACTTGTTCTGCAGCTGTTGCAGTTGGAGCATGTGTAATATTCTGCAAGTCTCCGAACTTCAGCTTCTTGGTGGGCAGAGTAAGACGAACAGCAACGGCCCCGTCTCAGAGGGCAGCTGTAAGAACTAAAGCATGCATACCGTGCTTAGCCTCCATAAGGAGTAGCATAATTGCCAATGTCGTTTTCCAAAAGAGCTTTGTTTGGCACCTGGCTCCCTGGTTCTCAAGGTTTCGCTGGATTACAAGAGAAAAACCTGCTCTACGTGAGGTTCTCCCTTCTTCACCCTCCTCGCCATCCTTCACTGCGTCACTAACCAGAGGGCAGAAACCACACAGTAATTGGAACAGAGAAATTTCAACACAAGGAATTATTTACTCTAACAGGAGCTTGAAATGCAGAGACACTGGTTAATACGAAGGCAAAGAGCACCCCAAGGAACACAGGGAGGTGCGTGGAGCAGCCCCCTTGGGTCTGAGGAGACACCTAGAAAGTGCTCTCCCCGCCCCCATAGCTGTGACCCAATGGATGGCAGAGAAGTCCCCTGGGTGCTGCACTGGTTGAGCTGGGTAATCTGCCAGCAGCCGTGCTGGGGGATGTCCTGTACCTGGAGTTTCGGCACCTGACAACTTTTTACAAAGCCACCAAAGGGGCTCTTGGGGAAGCTGCTAGACCGGGCAGCACTGGCTGCCACGTGCAGCCTGACCCAGGCTCCCAGCGCCCACACTGCAGGAGCCTGGCAGTGGGAAGCCACGAGTGCTGTAGAGTGAGCGCTGAGCCTGCCAAGCTGCAGGGCCAGGTAGGAGCAGGACACCGGAACCAGGGAGAGACCTTGCGCCTGCGGTGTCCCGCCAGCTCCCTCTACCGACAAAGCTGAGCACTGCACCAGCCGGAAAAGGAGAGGTCTTTACAGGACTCTCCCCAGCCTCCGTAACTGGAGAAACAAACTTTTGTTGCTAACCCACCCAATCTGTGACCGTTTGTTATGGCAGCTCAAGCAGATTAATGCAGCATTGAGCCTTCATTCTATTCTTCATGATTTTATGTGTGTGTACATTAAGTGTCATACGGATATGGGGTTCTTTTCTCTCTAATATACCATTTGTCTAGAGGACTTTGCTATTTTTAGTCTGTTCAGGTTGTAAGTTCTGAAAATAGTAGTAAGTTGCCTTATGTACTGTCCTACGTGAGTTTTTTTTTTTTAAGTTGAGAATACCAAAATCATTTATGAAGAGGAAAGAAGTTGACTAAGAGTCCCACTGTGTTGGCTGAGTATAAAACTTCTCTCTGCTCTCCCCAGAACAGGACAGGCAGTAACAAGTCCGTGGAAACAAGTCCGTTGGGGTGGGGGGTCACCTGTGACTGTCCAGCAGTGCACGCAATCCCTGCAGGCTAAACAGGGAAGGTATTAAAGCCTGGCTTGGCACCCATAGCCAGGGCATTAAGCTCTGGCTGAAGCCCTGGCCTCACCCTCACAGCCAAGCTTAAAGGATCTGATTGTTCCCATTTTACAGTGAGAAAATAGAAAGGCAGAGAGGTTTAGCCCTTTGCCTTAAATTGAACAATTAAGACCCCTTTTCTAGGCTCTGCTTCCTAAAAATTAGCATCATCTGAGCCATATTAGAGTTCAAGCTGAAAAGAAAATGGACACCCTTATAGTCACTTATCAAATTATCTTTCCAGGCCTCCCCAGTGGCACAAGGGGTTAAGTCTCCCCTCTAGGAAGCTACCAGCTGCCACCGCAGCATGAGTTCCATTCTCTGCCAGGGAGCTGACCCACATGGTACAGCAGATGTCTCTGAACTTGCTCACTGCTCCCCTCAGCAGTGTATTTCAGTCTCTCTGTCTGCTCTGCTCCCCACTCAGTCTCTGGGGAATTGTCTCCCCCTCTGTACCTCTAGCCTGTACCCCAGTTCTCGTATGCATAAATAAATTTTTAAAGGCTCTTTAAAAATATCTTTCCATATTTGGAAATAAATGGGAAAACTGGATAAAGACTCTACAATTAAAAAAAGAGTCATGGCCACAAATATAGTCTGTGTTGCCCAGTCTGTTACATACCATGTCAAGCCTCATAAAGCCGATTGTTGGGGATGCAATGGAGGCTGCCTGGGAACCACAGCTGATGGGAAACAACTTCCTGTTACAAAATGAGGCAGTCATAAAACAACAGCCTGTTTTATTTTAAATGCTGATGCTTTGCTCACCATAAATTCTGTAAGTTAATTTTCATTTTATAACCTATTACATGAACACTTTTATTTTGATTACTAATCATCAAGATAAGTATTTTGATGCAATTTGGTGTTCCATTAAATTTTCCACCAAAGCAGTGTTCCTCATTCACCTCACTCTGATAAAACCAAATCTTCCATGAATTATTCCAGGGCTCCACCTCCAGAGTGCTCCTTCTCCAAGGGCCCTATTGAGGATGAATCTGGACACATTCTGCGGATCCCCTATACTTCCATGGCCTCATCAGAAACATTGGGTCATAAAGCTGTAATGAAAGAAATAGTTCCACTGTGTGGTGAGCCCACATGGGCACATGCCTGAAAAAATATTTGGCGACACCAGATACTCTCCACCCGGCCTTAGTTACATCTGATCTAGAAGCCACAAGTTCCCAATTCCTATCCTGGTATATGCTCATCTGAACTCAGGGAGTCAGAGTCACTAGGGGCGCCAAGCATTGCTCTCCTATTGATTCAATGGGGCTAGGTAGTGCCTGGTTCAGAAGCCAGCCTGCTGGTTTAGGAACCTACACAGTCCTCTCCTCTGCAAGCAGTTGTCTGAAAGGTTTTGCAGCAATACTCTTTATTGGAGATGAACACTGTTGAGTTTTTGGTTTTTTTCAATGTTCCCTAAGACTCCAAGAAAACCAAAGGCAAACCCACCAGTGAAGCCTTCCTGGCCCTCAAAACTGGAGCACATGCTGAAGTTTTTGTGCAGGACAGAGAGAGGAACTGGAGACCATCAGATGAGGAAGAATGCTCCCAAATATTCCCTCTGCCTTGCAAAAAAGGATTCGCAAAAACTTTTCTCTCCAAACTTTAATGTAGGAGGAATTAACCCTAAATGACTACGAAGGCCAGCTTGGAAGTTTAACCCTAACCTACTAGACACTTTACATCCATCCTGCTCCCTCCAATCCAGCTTCCAATTTGCGGTGTGACCTTCTAAAAACACAAATTTGTTATGGGGACAAAAGGAGCTGATATTTGTGAAGTGCTGACTGGCATTACGGGAATACAGCAAGTACTAAAGGTCTGTTAAGTAAACACCTACAATGCTCTCCCTGTTGGAAGATCCTCTAGAAACTTCTCCACCGTAGAAACCTCTGCCTTCTATGTCTTCTCCCCCTCCTCTTGCCCTGGAGCCTCTAAATCGCCCCCCCCAATCCAGGTACCCCCTGTCCTTAGCAAATGCTAAGGACCCACACCAACCCCTCCTTCACAGCTCATTTTAAGTGTTACTTCGGGTTTCCAGGCCCTCCCAGAGGGGGGGTTTAGATTCTTCCATTACACCCTCTTACAACTGTGATGACAACGAAATGTCTTAGGTGTTTTGACTTCAGGCTGTTAGCTCACCAGCTCAAGGCTGGTTTCTTCTGTTCATTGCCTGTCCAAGAACCGAACAGAGGTGTGTTCCGAAAGGACCGTTTTGGAATGAATGAATAAAACCTTACAAATACTGTCGCATCTAGGAAAATCGTCCAAGATCGTCAAACCGACCCAAGACTCAACCCACCTAGTCTGCTCTGCCCATCGCGCTGATCCTTCCTGGCCCTCAAAACTAGAGCCGTAAATTCAGTGTCTGCAAGGTGAGTTGAGCAGCGGCAGGTCTGTTTGCAGAGGCCCCGCGCTGCGAAGAACGCGGCGCTGTGCACACGGGCCTCGCGCCCCGGGGAAGGGGCACACGTCACGTATACCCTGCAAAGCCCGTCGCCGCACCCGTTGGCAGGAATGCGGCCCCGCCCGGCTCCAGCGCCAGCAAAACCGCGCTGTCCTCGGGGACTGACGTCAAAGAGGGGGGCGCCTCCGGGCGCCGCGCGAGGGTGGCGGGGGCGGAGGGAAGGGGCCGGGCGGACACGCCCCTCCGCGCTGCTCTGCCGCTGATTGGGCCCGCGGAATCTTCGCCCTCGGGTTTCGAGGCCGGCGGAGGAAGGGGGCGGAGACGCGACACGCCCCTCGGCCCTTTGCGACCGCTGATTGGCCGACGCGTCTCCGCGTTCGATTTTGGAAGGCTCGCACCCGAGCTCCCTCCTGGTCTTAGCCGAGGATTGGCTGTTCCGGGGAGCGCTTTCTCCGGGGAGCTGTGGCTGTGACCGAGGTGGCCCCCCTCGGGCAGCCAGGTACGTCGTCGGTGGCCTCGCTAGAGTAAGGTGGGGTCGGGCGAGCGGGCTGCCTGATCCGGGGTGCTGCGGGGACCCAACCCGCTAAGGGCCGGTCTCTCTGCGAAGCGGCTGCGTCTGAGCCCCGGAGGTCCGGGGCCGACTCGGGTTGGGGTTGTCGCCCTGTGACCTCGGCCAGGATAACCCCCTGCCAAGCTCCTGTCTTGCCTGCGAGTGCCGCCTGGTCCTTGCGAGCACCGTCGCGGCAGGAGGCCCAGAGCTGCGCCCGCCTGCTCGAAAGGCCGTGGAAGGGGTTAGGGTGGGCGCATCTTGGCTCACCCCATCCGGATTTGGGTGAGGAGTCGGTGCTGCCTTTCAGCGTGGTGAGTAACGCGGAGCTGTGGAAGTGCCGAGGGAACAGGCTTGCTGGGGAGGCCTGACTTTAAATCCCTGCGCCTTCCCAAACCCGCAGCATATAGCAGGTTCCTAGCGGCTTCAACGCCTGGGTCCTTCCTTCCCCCTGAAGCCCTCATGAGCCTTCTGGCAGAAACAAAAATAACAATGGTTGAGAGAATGGATGCGGGAATAGAACACCCTGGCTCCTGTGTCAGCTTCATACCTCCTAGCAACTTTGGGCAAGTTACTGCTTAACCTTTCTGAGCTCAGCTTTCTCATCTGTAAAGTGGGTGTGTAGTACTACCAGCTCTAGGGTATTGTGAGGTTTGAAGAGATTGCCCATCTGTGCTGTCCTGCACTTGACACCCTCAAGCTTCCTCAGTGGCAGCTATGATTTAACAATTCAGACTAATCCCACTCCCTTTGCCCTGCGTGAAGACTCTCTTAAAAGGCATTTCATGATGGTGGTGATGAAAATGGCAATTATTCTGCAGTCCCTTTCATCATTCATCATGATGTGACATAATGTACCAGGATGAATCTTTATCTCCCTTCTCCCCCTAAGGGCTTATTCTCACCATGTAGTAATGTACAAACTGAGGCAGGGCAAAACTGGCATTGCCAAGGTCATTCAGTGACATAGCCAGAATGTCACTATGCCAATTTATCAGTGGCATAGCCAGAATGCAGAGTTCTTGAATTCTTGAAGAGATATTCCTAGATCCAGTAGCAGTTTATTTCAGGTCATCTTTTGGAATTGGTTTGGGTAGAGGTCCCAGTTCTTTTCTCTACCTCTCAGGGTACAAATTGAGAGGCCTACATGTGTCCAGTTTTCTCGGGCACCCAGGCTAAAGCTAGGCCCTGTGCACTGGGAGGGCCTATGCAGCCATTTGAACTGTGCCTCCCACATGGGGAACCATAGATTTTGGCTGCTGTCCAGTGGCATGTCTGTGCCAGGAAGCAGGCCAGGGCCACAAGTGTTGATTTGGGCCTTGGGCCAAAGCTCCTGATCTTATTCTAAGGGCCCTTGGCCTCTGGTTACAGAGACTATTACCATCAGCAGGGTCCTCCCAGGAAGGTGAGCTGAGTGAGGAAACCATTGCTGCCCAGTAACTAAAGTGTGTTCTGCCTCTCATGGTTACTGGCACCTTCTGGAGACCAAGTGAGACAGCTGTCTGAACTGACTTCGGATGCTCGGCTGTGCACCATTCTTATACACTGCAAAATTCATGTGCACGGAGAGTCACTTTTAAGCTATATTTCTTCATTAGAGTTCTACAGTTCATTTACTGCCTGCTTCAAAGCAAGTTGAACTTTGTCACTTTCAATATTTGGTATTTACTTTGTGGGTTCATTTTTAACCTAGTTTGTTATCAAATTCAAGTATTTTGCAATGACCTTTTATTTGCTCCAAGACCCTTGCTTTTCATTTTTTATATCATCTCTGAAATGAAAGATCCATTTGTAATCATTTAATTGCCTTTATTTTCTAGTTTTAGAAAATACCATTGTTCCAGTATACTTATTTCCTAGATTCGGATCTTGTCCAGGAAATTAGGAGAACTACTGAACATGTTGAATGAGATTCTTCTGATAATGAAAGCATTCTGATTATTTTTTTCCCAAAGTTTACCATCTAATCCTATGTAAACTCCACAAATTTTTGTGCCCAGCCTCACTCTGCTGAGTGTCAGGAGTGAGGGCTCTGAAAATCTGGAGATGCCAAGATCTCAAGATTCACGGAAGGTATGAATAAAGCTGAATGCAGGATGGTGGTAGCTGGCCTCTTGTGCATGCTCACTCACCGTGACTGTGGCTTTGCATCCCCGGGGAGGTGGTGGCACTTTCTGGGACATCAGGCTCCATCAGTCATTCCCTCCCTGAGGCAGCTGCTGCTGCTAGATCCTGCTGTTCTCTCCAAGGGGAGGGTGAGTTTGCCTGGGTCTGAAAAAGACAGCACCCTTCTCCCACCAGCCCCAGCTCAGCCATAGCCAATCTAGATCATTATAGAGTGCTTTAGTGCAGTGAGCTCTACTACCTGGTCCTAACCATATAGCCCAGTGGTAAAAGTGTGTGTTCTCCAGGGAAGTTGAGAAGGGGAGCCACTGGTTGGGGAGACATGGCCAGACCTGTCCACACATGTTGCTCCTAGGCCCTGGAAGACAAGAAAACCCATTCCTGCTTCCATACAGACCTAGCCTTGTCATGGAATTATCCACTCTCAGTAAGGGCACACGCCCTCAGAGACCGTGAGCATCCATTTGTACTTGCAGATGTATGAGGGAAACACGTATGTGGAGTGCTTGAGGCCTCTCAGCCAGTGAGTAGTAGACGCAGTGGCTAAACCTTCTCTGACTCATAAGCCGGTGCTCAGAGTACAGGGCTGGGTTGCAGGCCTAGATTTCCCTGTGGAAGCTGGGGATCTACCTCTTCAGGGTGCCACATGCTCAAGGCTAGGGCAGCCTGTCAGCCATTAAACAGCTCTGACGCCACAAAAAGATTAAAAGAGGTTCCACAACCCCACCCCTGCCACACATGTGGGAACATTCATCATTCTTCCCTTTCTCTTGACAGGTTTCCCCTTTTGTGAATTAGGTAGCAATAGTTAGTGAAGCACACCTCTGAGAGGTGAGAAGAGATATGCTTTGAACTGCTTAGAAAGGCAACTCAGGCTTTCAAAGCACTGGCTGCATAGGGTTACTGGGCCAGGGTTAACCTTGTCTGAGCCTCATTCACCTGTTTCTGCTTCCCTGGGCCCCTCTGCCTAGAATTGTTTGGGCGATTACATGGTAACATGTTGATACAGAATAAACATCCATAGTAGCTCTGATTTCTTTGTCAGCCTGGGAGCAGTTAGCTGTTTTCTGGTCACAGTGTCTAAAATCCATTTTGGGAGGTTTAAGTACCACAAATTACTAACCGGATTCCAATAAGAGTGCCTAAAGACAGGCAGATTAAAATACTCCCATTTTTCCAGATAAAAAGCACAATTTTTATCAAGCTGATTATCTGAGTCTTCTGCCGATTTTAGTTAAATCCCTTTTTTTTAAATAATGTTTATTTTTAAAATCTTTTTAAAAAAAGAATGGAGTTTTCATGACAGAAGATGTAGAAATTGGGGCAGGGTAAGTGGTCATTACTGGAATACGTTAAGTGACTATGGTGATGATAAGGGCAGGCCGGGGAAGGGAGAGGTGATTGTTTCTGGAGAGTCTGCATGGGGTGAAGAGATGACAGAAATGCTCAAAAGTACAAGACTAGTTAGAGCAAGGGTTACTTCTGAGTGACTTGAGGAAACTTTTATTTATAAAATTCCATACTGGGCCCTGCCTGGTGGCGCAGCGGGTTAAAGCACAGCACTGAGAAGGTAAAGCCACTTCCGCATGAGTTCGATTCCCCCCTGCCCCGGAGGTGACCACATGGCGCGGCAGACCTCTCCTGACCCGCCCGCTGCTCCCCTCAGCAGTGTACTTCGTAGATCTGCCTGTTCTGCTCCCCACTCTGTCTCTGGTGAAGCCTCTCGCCGCCCCTGAGCTTCTGGCCTGTATCCCCAGTTCTGTATGAACAAATAAATAAATCTTTAAAATTCCATACTGTTTGCATGTTTTATAGTGAACATGTACTTTTTAAATGTAAATGAATTTTAACTTTTTACCCCTTTTAAAGTCAATTGCTGGTTGACATGTTATCTCTGCAGCTAGTTGTGGTATGAGTCGTGATTTAGCAACCAGCCTTCCCCAGAGCCCCCTGGGGTGTGGGGTGGGAGGGCCCATGGGGCCTCAGCTGATCAGACCAGAATGCTTGGAGGAAAAGGCACGTCCATCTTACATCCCTGACCAAAGTTCAAGTTAAGGAGGCCACAAAGTGGCCGTGTACACTTCTTTAGTTTTTTTTGGTACCTGGTAATACATTTAATCCTTAAAATAATCCTGGGGAGTGGTTTTTAGCTCCATTTTACACTAAGCAGGCTCAGATTAAGAAACATGCCCAGGGTCACAGTGAGGAAGGTGGCCAAGCTGGGATTCAAACCCAATTCTGTGTAATGTCAGAGTCTACTTTCCCAAAGCTTTTCCAGGCTATACTGGAGACTAGGGTAAGGGAAGCAAGCCTTTATGCCTGTATTACTCAGAGTGAACTTGCCAAAGCAAAGGAGAAATTTTAATTTTCATTTCCTGAATATGATGGGGGCACTGACAGTTTTATTGAGCTTATAAATCTCAGCCTCAGCCCATGACAGTTCCTTCTTCCCCACCTTCCTCTCCCACTTTTCTCTGGTGCTTTGGACTAGTTAGATCTGACTGGTGTTACTTCATACTGTGCTTGCAAATTACATGGATTTGGTTCATCCCAGACTTGAAAATAGGTAAGATGACTCATCTATTTTAGATGGAAAAACATAATAGAACAGAGCGCTGTTCTCAATGCTGAGTCTTCACTCAGTCCTTGGAGCAACCCTATGGAGATGTTAGTACCAGCTGACAAGTTTAGACAGGAAGCAGCTGGAATATTCACCCTCCAGAAACTGAAGGCAGCCACAACTGGGGTCCTTACCAGGGAACCCAAATCTACCATCTCTTTTACTGCTTACAAAGCCTGCGCCTTAGCTACGAAGACATGTGGATCGCCACCTCGTTTTCTCCCGTGTGAAATGAGGAGTGTCTCCCTCACAGGGCGGTACCCATATTTCACCCATGTGACCCTGACACTTGCTGTGTGCATAACCTAACATCAGGCTGCTGCTGCTGTTCCCGGTGAGCCTGGAGGTGCTGGGTGAGCATGGGCTATAGAGCCAACAACCCAGGTTCTGCTTCTAGCTGTGACAGGGGAAAGTCACTTAACCTCTGACTGGAACGTCTTCATCTGTAAAGTGAGGATAAACACTTCTTACCTCACAGGCTCTTCCCAAGTGTTGAACACTTAAGCAGTTCATATTATTATTCCCTCAAGGTGCCCAGGGAAATTAATGATTTTAAGCCAAGACTTATACTCCTTTAGGCTTTTGGAGAACAGAAATGCCAGAAGTCCTTGCATTAATTAGAACTCCCAGATTTGGGAAGGGCCTGCAGATTGCTGATGTCTCCCCATGTTTTCCTTCCTCAGAGCACCAGGATGGGCACCCCAGCCTCTGTGGTGAGTGAGCCACCTCCTTGGCAAGCCCCAACTGAGGCCCGGGGCCGCAAAAAGGCCTCAGCCAACATCTTCCAGGACGCTGAACTGCTGCAGATCCAGGGCCTGTTTCAGCGCAGCGGGGACCAGCTGGCTGAGGAACGTGCACAGATCATCTGGGAGTGTGCTGGGGACCACCGCGTAGCAGAGGCCTTGAGGAAGCTGCGCAGGAAGAGGCCCCCGAGACAGAAGCCTCTGGGCCACTCTGTCCACCACTGTAGCCGACTGAAGTAGGTCCCTGGTCTGGAGGGCTCAGGGAAGGGCAGCACTAGTAATGCTGTCAGCCCGCCAGTCCTGGCTGTGTGGCTGGCTAGCCCACTGTAAAGCACCTACCAGGGGGGCTGGGGTGTGGCCTACACAGTGCCTACCATGGGGGGGCACTTCAGACTTCTGTCATAGGATACCAAACTCATGGGATCCTGGGAAACTCCCATGGAGTGAGGTGCCTAGGTCTGCCAGTACCACCTCATTTTTCAGTGATGCTCAGCTAGGCAAGAGTGCTGTTTGAAAGAAAAACATTGTGCTTGCCTGCCGTAGAACAGGTAGGTAAGCCTAGTTAAATTCCTGGTTAGGAAATTACAGAGAACTAAAGGCTAGGAAAGCACTATAGTGGATTCAAGGGCTAAAAATTGCTGAGAAACTTTATACTTTCCCTAGTCACCCACTACTTTGCTTAGGTCACTGTCAGCTCAGAAACAACACCCCCAAGAGATGAGCTGAACCACACAGCTGAACCCGTCATTGTGGGCTTGTTCCCGTAGCCACTTTCTCTGGGCCTAGTCACATCATTAAACCTGAACAGGACTTCTGAGACCATCAGGCCCAGGGGTAGCAAACCAGCTTTATGGCTTGTGCTAACTCCAATTAGTGATCACTACTTAAAATGCCTTGCTAAAAGATACTTGATTCCTCTAGTCTTGTATAGGGACTGATGAATGATGTTTGCCAGGAGTACAAGATGAGGAAGTTGGAGCAGTGTTGAATGTCACACACCCTGATCTAGTCCAATTCTTACAGAAATCTGAAAGCTTTGCCAGAGCTTATTTTGCTCTAAGAAGGCAGAGACAAGACCAGAGTTCTGGTCTCACTTTGCCCTGAACAGTTTTAATAGCTCACCATGACCAAAGTCTTTATTTCTTTCCCATCCTTCCTGCTGATGTTGGCTTATCACATATTTGTTCCCTGCAGAGGCCCAGAACCCTGTACTCCACTGGCTGACCCACAGGGCAGCGCCACAGAGATGGCTCCCAGTGACCAGTATCTGGACTCTAGAAGGGCAAGTGCCAGGATCCGTCAGAACTGGAGGAAGCCAGGCCCCACAAGCTACCTCCATCAGATCAGACACTGATTCAGGGAAGTGGCTCGGAGCGGCAGTATATTCCCCAGGAATCACAGGGATTTTTGCCAAAGGGTCTGGGAGGCAAAGAAGAAAGATGGAGGCGTAAATCAAAGACTGCTGCTACTGGCTTGTAATGAACAGCACTGGAGGCTTCCCTGGAGCAGTGTATTGTGTGGAACCCATTCTTCATCCAAATAAGAAACCGCCTCTGCTCCTGCTCAGCCTTTCCCAATCTAACACTATAGCTGTGCTGCATGACCTTCCCCCTGGAGTCAAGCCGCAAGCACTCACACTGAGCACACACCACCCTCACACAGCTCTCCTGCTACTGTCACCCAGTGGTCCAGCAGCCTGTTCCACATCCCTGCCCTTCAGGCCAGCACAAGGAAACTATGGTTTCAGTGGCAAAATAAAAACATTTGCATCAAAAACTGTGTCTGTTACAGAAAGCAGATCCTGAGGTACATGCCTAAGAGGTTGTGTTTGGGGGTGGGGGCGGTGGGAGAGGGGAGATTGAGATGGGGATAATTCATTGCAGGGAAGGGGTGTTCCCAGGAAGGAAAAAATAAGGCTGGCTTTCATGCCCCATATGCCTAGCGCCTGTGTACAGCCTTTTCCAAAAAGCTGTTAGGTTGGGAACTGAGGTCAGGGCTTCTCTGTAAGCAGGAGAGGATTCTTGACTCCTGATCCCAGGAGAGGATTCTTGACTCCTGGCCAGCTCTAGAAGGGAGGCCTGTATACTGGGCACTGGGTCCCTGGGTGGACGAATCCGCAACAAAAGAAGTTGGTGCCAACTTCTCAGCTACTTCTTTATCCCTCTGGGCTACCCATGCTGAGGTGGGCCAGCAGGTGGATAGGCCATTCTGGAGTTTCCTGTTATCTGAGCTTTCGGATAACCTAAAGATCTTTGGCCTTCAGCCCCTCTACCCCACCCTATTATCTGATTAGAGTTGTGGCCCACAGTGCTCTAAGGGGCAGTGACAAACACAGAGCAGGGCTGCCCTCTCGTGGTCCAGTAAAGAAGTCGGTCTGCATTCCTATCAAATCCTTGGAGTGAGATATCCTATCAAATCCTTGGAACTCAATTATTTTGGCTTTGAAGAGATAGTAAGTGCAAATATAATCCTAATGAGGTGACTATTTCATAACAGATGAGTATTTCTGCAACAAATATTCAAACTGAGGGATACATGATGATTACAAATAGTTTCCTATCAGTGTAGATTCAGGTCAGGTTTTGGACAACATGCTTGATTTGCAGAACCTGTATCTTCTTCTGCTGCAGGGGAGTAGCCTGTGTAGGGAGTCCTACACAGGGTTCTCTGTCCTGTGCATTCTATCTTGTGTTCCTCCCACCAAAGAAAACGAGACAACAAAGGTCAGAACTGGACTTGTTATTCATACATTTGCATTGACTTAAATACAGTTTCTACAGTGCATTAGAACAGTATCAAGGCAGCAGCACTCTGAGCCACACCTCTTCTCCCTGACATGGGGGGCAGGGCCAATGGCTGGCAGAGGGCCAGGCCAGCCCAAGTGCCACCCAGAAGCCTACCCCGGAACCTGCCCCTGGTTCTCTCCACATTCAAGGCAACCTGAGCACAGGCTTCACGGAGAATGGAGAAGGGCCAGGGAAAGATGCCCCGCACTCCCACCTGCCAGGCCTGGGGCCAGCTCCCTCTAACACAGGATCCAATTTCCTCCCCGTCACAGAGCTGGTCCGGAGAGGACAATGTGCAGATCAGCTTGGCTCAGGGTTGCACCAGGCCCCTCAGGACTCCCTGACACTCAGGTGGGGAGCTTTATCCACACCTCGGTGGTAATGTCTATGGAGAGCTAAACACCTGCCTGCGGTGCCCTCTCCCTCCAGGAGCCCCCTTACAGTCGGGCTAGGCAGTCTCCAGCCCGAGCCCCCAGGGGAGAGTCCCCATTGGCTGAATAGGATTGTCAGGGCAGGCAGACAAGGCCTTTGTCCATGTGCATCCAGCTCCCAGACGCTTCCTGTCAGCAGGGAAAGCCCAGGACAGTTGCTGGAAGAGAAGGGGACCAACCTGGCACAGCTGACAAGAAGGCTGCACGTCTCCACTCTACTCCTGGATGGCAACACTGGGCAAGCAGAGGCACAAGGCCATGGTGCTCACTCCCTTTCTTTGGTTGTTTTTCAAACCTTCAAGATAGTCTCTTTCCAAGGCTGATTGACCAGTCGCACACTGCCAGAAACTCAGTGTCCAGCTGCTCATCCTCAAAGAGCATCTTCTCTACCCCCTCCTGAGGCCGCTTTTTGCTTTGGTGTAGAAGGGGCTCGGACACCTGGCAAGGGGGACAACTGAGGAAAAGAGATGGGGGGCAGGAAGATGCACACTGAGCTGGACAGGCAACAGGGGACAGTTTGAAGGTCTCTCCTGATGCCTTGCTCAAGATGCCTTGGAAAATTAGCCTGGACCAAGAAGTCAGGGAGCATAAGGAAGCCACCAGTTAGGAAGCAGAATATAAGTCCTCTTACTTCCACCAAGTAGCAGTGGTAGGATAAAAACAAGTCCAAGGATCTAAGATATTGTTCTCTTTTTAAAGAGTTGAGACCCACCCTAGAACTCTTGGCAAGACCCACTTCAGAACCCAGCACTGACCCCTTAAGTCAAGAGGTGAGGAAAGATAACTAAAATAACAGGAACAAATGAGAGGAAGGAGAGAGCATATCACTTCTGTGTAGGACCACAGAAACAAGGCCGGGATACACGAACCTTAGAACTATACTCCTAGCATACACTTAGGCCACAGAATCACTTTTGCAAGCTGGGGCCTCAGTTTCCTCCCTCCTGCCTTTGCATGAATGGACAGGCAAGCTACAGGCCTGGACTAGGGAGGCTGGTTCCCTAACAGAACAGAGAGCAGAGCCAATCTACCCAATTATATGCAGAACTGCTGGGAGGCCTAGAACACCCCCACCATGAGAATTGTGTTTGGAGGCTTTCACTATTGCACTGGTGGAAGAAGGGGAAGAGACTTGGTAAAAACCAAAGGAAAGGCGTGGCTTTGTCCCAGGACTTCACATCACCAGTTGTCTTTTGAGTCAGCCAGCTGCATTGGTCCATGGGAGTGAAGGACAGTGAGGCACCTGAATATAAGGTCCATGCGAATATAAGTCTGGGTTAGAGGTTTCTGATATGAGAGATTCAGGGATTCTGCCCGGGCTTTGCAACTAGTGTTTAAATTTCTTTTTGTTATATTATTTTTTTTTCTGATGCAGAATATAATGAGGAATTGCAACAGAGCAGGGTGACAGGGAGGGAAGGGAATTTCCCATCCTGCCCTCAGGAGATGCTAGAAGGGAGATGCTCCTCCCAGGCATCTGGACAACTTGCCTGGAGTGCCAGCCTCCCCAGCACTCAGAGGGGCCCAAGCGACTATCCCTCTGATTGTGCTTCTCCCAGTGCTTGGAGAAGCCCTGAGGGAGGTTGCGAGCAGAGAGGGAGGGCTCTTAAGGGCACTGCTCTCTACCAGCTTCTTGGGCTTTTCCTGCAATCCACTCCCCAGGCTTCCTCCCAGCCCAAGTCTCAGACAATAAGCCTTTGTCTGCCTCTCAGGCTACCACCACGAAAAGAAGGGCTTCCGACTCTGAAAGCTCTGTGTGTAGGACTCGCTAGCAGACCGCTGGTGGGAACGGGCCGTCTCAACAATCACGGGTGGCATCTGGACGAGGTGCAGGGGACTCTTGTTGTCTTTCAGGGCCTGGGACAGGTTTAGGATCTGCAGTGGGAAAAACGAGATCAGTAAGGGAAAGGCCTGAGCACCGAAGTCTGCCTCTGAAAGGAAACCAGCAGACAGATGCGCCCGTAAGTGAATAAAAACACAGCCACAGAAAGCTGTACAATTGACTAAAGACTATAAATGGGCAGTAAATAGAAAATGAAAACCTCTCTAGGTATTTAAAAAATACAAATTAAAACAAAAACCTCCTCTACATTTTGCACTTCCGGTTAGAAAAGACAGATGACAATGATGATGACTCGGAGCTGGAGAGCATGTGTAGACATGGCTGTGGGGCAGTCATTCAGACAGACCACTTGACTCAGCAATTCTATTTTTAAGGACTAAGGCAACAATCACAAATATGCCCAAAACATTTAGTTTCAACTAGTAGAGTCAGTACTGTTTATAACAGTGGAAGTTATATATAAATGCCTAAGAATATGGATCCATTTAATAACTTAAGAGATATGAAATTAACAAGTAAAAATTGTATTTCATTGATGTGGAAAGCTGATCAGTGTCATCAGAAAAGGAGATAAGGAATCAGTATTACAATGTGACCCACCTAGAGTTTCTAAAATTTTATCTTCCTACCTACCCATCTGCCAAAAAAGTCTAGAAGTCAGCAGTGATTATCTCTGGGTCAAGGAATTAGAGGTGATCTTTTTTGTTGTTTTTTTTTTTAAGATTTTTTAAATTTATGCATATAATAACTGGGGTACAGGCCAGAGGTGTGGGGTGAGAGGACTCACCAGAGACAGAGTAGGGAACAAAATAGGTGCACTGACTGAAATATGCTGCTGGGGGGAGCAGTAGGCAAGACAGGAGAGGTTTGCTGTACCCTGTGGGTCAGCTCCCTGTGGGCCAGGGATCAAACTTGTGTTACAGGGGCTGATAGCTTCAGAGTACTGTGCCTTAACCCCTGTACCTCAGGGAGGCTTGTTGTTGCTTATCCTTTCTTGCTGACTTTCCCACACCATGTGTTTAAAAAAGTCAAAACATCTGAATTGGATTCTCCCTCAAATGCTGTCTCTTCTTAATCACTTTTTTTTAATAAAACTTAATTTGGAGTAATTTTACATTTACAGAAAAGTTATATAGTACAGAGAGCTCCTGTATTTACCCAGCTCCTCATAATTTTTGCAATTTACACTTATTTAAACTAATGAATTAACATTGGAACTCTCCTACCTAATTGTTTTGGTAACTGACAGCATCCTATACTGCTTTAAGGAGCTGGGAGCACAAGACCAGGGCAGAGGGCTGTAAGACAGTTCAAATGGAACTGGAGTGGGCTGTACAGACCGCCCATCTTAAACACCACCTTTGAAAATGTTGTTTTACATAAGTTTTCCCTCAAACCTTGTTTTCTCTATCTAACATGGTTAGAAGCTTTTATGGTGAATGTCTACACCCATCACCCAACTCTAACTCTCGGGGGGCCCTTCACTCTTCGCCTTACTCTCAGGGTCCACATACAGTTCCCTCTGTTAATTATGGCTCACAGAAGTAGAAGGCTACTTCCTTCACAGTAGTCTACAGGGTTTCTATATGGCAGAGACTTCTATTGCTTTATTGTGAGTGGTAAGAAAATAAGAAAGCGACCCACACAGTAGCCACCTACATGCTGGGTGGAGCTGGGCACTCATGGAAACTTGCAGAACCTGGATGGAAGCACTCTGGGTTTAAGATGCCAAAGGCTCTCAAAGGATATGAAGAACACAAAATGAGACAAAGATAAAATTACACTCTTCCAGTCCACTCCCCCTTCAATCTTTGTTGCTTCAGATAATGGCCCTCACTGAGTATAATGGGAGGAAGGTTGCTATGATGCTGGCAAGAGGCCAAGTTGGGAGGGGATCAGAGAGGACAGTACAATAGGGGCAGAGGTACCATCTACATAAACTTGAGAAGTTTGCACCTTTATGCTGAATTCTGTAATAGCAGAGTTCATTTTAAGGTTTCCCAAAATTCTGCCAGCCTAACTGGGCCCTTACCTTATTTGGGAAACATTGGAAGACCTGATATTCAGTTCATAAAACCTCTGCCTGGTGGCGCAAGGGGTTAAAGTCTCAGCACTGTGAAGCTATCCACTGCCACTGCGGCATGGGTTCAATCCCCAGCCAGGGAGCCAACCCACATGGTGCAGCAGACCTCTCCTGTCTCACCTGCTGCTCCCCTCAGCAGTATACTACGGTCAATCTGTCTGTTCTGCTCCTCACTCTGTCTCTGGTGGATTCTCTCGCCCCCAAACTGCTGGCCTGTACCCCAGTTCTTGTATGTATAAATAAATCTTTAAAAAAGACACCTCTATCTATCATTTCCAGGGAAAAATAGGCTCAGTAAGCCCAGAGTTGCTTTCACCAAGTTTCTAGCTAACTGGTAGGAAGTAAATGTATAATTATGATGGAGGAAGACCTTCTTGTCCTTTAAAGATCTGAGAAGCTGACTTTTCTGTACATAAAAACACAATCAAAAGTAGTTAACACATTTTGAGTACTTCAATACACCAAGCACTACTCCAATTGTCTTAAATCTTTGTTCTCATTATAAAACTTGATAAAGGTGCTTTTATTAATAACATATTGCAATGGAGAAGCTAAGGGAAGGAGAGAGTAAGTAACAAGTCTAAGACCACAGCGCCAGTAACCGGCAGAGCCACTACTCAGACCCAGATGCCCTAACCACAGCCATATTCTTAGCTGATAGGCCAGCCCAGCTCTAATTAAGAATTTTAAAGCTGTAAGCACACTATCGGTGCCCTGTAGAGTTTTAAACAATCTTACAAACATATTTTTTACTATGCTTTGGACAATCAATGATACCCTGGTGGGTTTCCTTAGCTCTCTTTGAAGGTAAAGTGGGAAAAAAAGAAATATGACTTGTTAAAAGCAAAAATTATACCCATATTTATTATCTACATGCTTTCACTGTACCATTTTTTACTAAAAACTTGACGTGTATTATCTCACTAGTTCACTAGTCAACTCTGAAAAGTATTATGAAAGCTCCATGTCATAAGCAAGAAATTAAAAGGCTCTTTGTCCAAGGCCACAGGCTTGTAGTGGTGAGGCAGTGTGACTCCCGTGCCTAAGCCGTTAACCTCCACGCTGCTCCTGCCCGGAGGAACGTGAGGACAGGGACCACAGGCTTGACTTCCCCAAGCACCATCGAGTAGTTGGCTCATAACTGAGCACGTAGTAAGTGCTACACCAGGGGTACCATGGGCGACTAGCTGGTCTCCCCGTGTGTTAGGGTGGCGTCACAAACATACACAGAGACTAAACAGTGTAAATGGAAGTCTTACATGTTTACTGAACACACCCCCCCTAGGAACCCCAGGGTAACACTGCATGTCCCAGGCTTACCTGTCCCCGCATGACAGCAATCTGCTTGTGAAACTGACCCCTGTCAAAACCAGGATCTTTCTGCAAAAGAAAGGCAGGAGACAGACCTTGCATAAGCCACTCAGAAGGACACATTTTTCTCTTTCAATTAGAAACTTTTTAATAAAGAAAACCTACAAGAGGCTTTTAAAACTTGAAGTTAACTACCACCCCAAGAACTTCCTCTTTCACAGATGCAGTTATGAAGAACAAGTATATAATCTTGTGCCAAGTCTTGTTATTAACACTATAAAGAACTCTAGGCTCCATGCTCCATTTGAAAATGAGAACTTTTCAGAGTCACTGAAGTCACACACCAGTGTGATTCATCACAGCTGCCAATATTTCTCAAACCAATCCCAACCAGGCCTTGTTGTCTACATGTATCTTGTACTTCTAACACAAATCAGAAGAGTGTTAGCCATTCTTTCTTGGCTTTTATCAGGACCAATTAGAAAAAACATTATGAATTCCCCCTTCTATTTGGTGATAAGGTTGAAGTTTCCAGCACTAACCTTGAAGAGTTCATATAGGTCCTCCTCTAAATCCTTGATGAAGTTAGGGTCCGATATCTTTGGAAGAATCAGATCTTTGATCTCCTGAGAGAATGGTACTTTTGCCTGGGGTAACCAGGCCCAGTAAAAAGGGTCTGAAAAGAGTAAAGTCCAAAAGGAAATATGGTGTTAAAAATGTCCCTTGGGGCCCACCGTGGTGGCGCAGCAGGTTAAAGCACAGCACTAAGAAGCTAAAGCCACTTCAGCATGAGTTCAATCCCTGCCCTGGAGGAGATCCACATGGCGTAGCAGACCCTTTCTCACCTGCCCGCTGCTCCCCTCAGCAGTGTACTTCATTGATCTGCCTATTCTGCTCCCCACTCTGTCTCTGTTGAATCCTCTCACTGCCCCTGCACTTCTGGTCTGTACCCCAGTTCTGTATGCATAAATAAATAAATGAATCTTAAAAAAAAATGTTTCTTGACCTATCAGATACTGCAAAAGGTAGAATCCTTCTTCCTTGATATACAACAGGGAAGAAAATTTATAAGAGCAGTTAACCCTAAATGTTACATAGTACATGAAGGAATCAGGACTCAAGCTCAGGTGTAGTTAATCCCAGGGCATGTGCTCTTTCCTAAACTCTTCATGGCCATCCAAAATATCGCCTATCTAGTTATCTGCTTGCCAATGAGACATTCAGATGTTCCTTTGAAAAAACAGGCTAGTACTTATCTCTTCAGATTCCCAAGAGTTTTTCTGCATAATGGGGCGGGGCCTGGCTTCTGGGATGTCACAGAGGAAAATAGAACACTGACAGTTCTTGTATTTAGAAACACAAATAGAATAAATTAAATAAAGCCCTCATTAAGAATAAGAAAACTGCAACATGGAGAAAACCCAAGTCTATGCTCCCAATGAGAATAATGTAAGGTAACAAAACAATGACAGCTTCTATTATGGGGCAGTTGCAAAGCCAGGCACGTGCTAAGTGCACAAGCCACATTATTTCATTAATTTCTGGAACAATACTATGATTGAGATATTATTATGTCCACTGCACAGATGAGAAAACTTAAACTGAGCAAAAGAGCCAGACAACAGTGCTCTTGAGACTTACATGCCCTCCAGGAGTCAGGATGCTTCAGGGGGAAAGCCAGCCCATTGTCTATGGCAGCAACTTTGATAACAGGCTCCTTCACCACCACCCAGTCTGCGTCCTGAGGAGCAAGCAAAGACTAAATACTTAGGGTCCCACCTGCCTCAGGCTCTTTAAAGTAGTCAAAGCATCTGGTCTCAACCTCCGCAGGCACCAATACTTATTCAACTACTCTTCTCTGACCTAGTTTCCATACTGTAACCTGAATATTATATATTCATAGCACCCTTAACCTGGCCTGTTCAGAGCTCTCAGTCTCTTGAAACTATTTTAGAAAAGGTATACTTCCCTAGGAGCTGGCCCAGTCCCAATGAAAAATGACAATAAGAAAGATGATAACAAAAATAACTATAAGTCATTCCTCCCAGGTAAAGACAATAATAAGAATCTTCAGAATATGAAAAGAAAATCAATATCAATTGGTCAAGGTTCTTTTGTGTGACCTTTGAATCGGATGCCACTTCACTAATGGTGACCACATATTCCAGGGAGATAAGAGTGCCATGGGAGATAACAGTTGGCTGCTCTTACACAAAGGAGCCTGTTCCCCTGCTTGAATGATACCGGAAAAGGAGAAGGGCAGAGCTGAGTACAGACACAGTGGGGCAGGCTTCCTGGGAGAGCCCATGTAAGACATTCTCGTGACTGTCTCCTTGGCTTCACACTTAAGGCTCACTGTGCCATCAGCAACAGGGGACATGGGTCAAGGACACCTGTACCAGTATCCACTGGGATGCCCGAGTGTTATCAACCTAATGGGGATCGATACTACTACATTTAATAAACACTTCAGGGATTCTGATGTATGAAGTTTGAGAACCACTATTAGAGAAGAAAGTTAAGAAATTAAAAACACTATGAACATGTATTAACTAACTTTAATGTAGTAAGACATTTTTATAACAGTCTATCAAATAATAACACTGGGAGAGGAGGAGAGAGGCAGGTGGGAGAGGAGGAGGACCTTCCAGCAGATTTTGAATGTTATATGTCACTTATATCTCAATACAGCTAGAAGAAAAAAACACCATGAAGAATGAAAACAAACCTTATTCTCCTTCTCCTGGTAGACGTCCTATTTTTTTTTTTTTTTGGTTTATTTTTATTTACTTATGCATACAAGAACCAGAGGTATAGGCCAGAAGTGTGGGGTGATGAGAGGATTCAGAGACAGAGTAGGGAGCAGAATAAGTGTAACTGTTAAGAACACTGCTGAAGGAAGCAGTGGGCAAGACAGGAGAGGCCTGCTGCACATGTGGGTCAGTTCCCTGGCTGGGGATTGAACTCAAAAAGCAGTAGTTTCATAGTGTTGAGACTTAACTCCTGTGCCACAGGGGGGTCCAACTTCCTGCAATTTTTAAAAAATATGCAGCCTGAGCAGGAAAGAAGAGTGTGGAGTGTGAAAGCAATGAGTGAATAAAGAAAGTTGCAGGAACTGGGTGCAGCGGATTAAAGCACAGCACTATGAAGCTCTCCACAGCCACTGCAGCCCATGTTTGATCCCCAGCCAGGGAGGTGACCCATATGGCACAGCAGACCTCTCCTAAACCTTTCTGCTGCTCCCCTCAGCAGTATATTTCAGTTTATCTGCCTGTTTTGCTCCCCATTCTGTGTCTGGTGAATCCTCTCACCACCAACCCCACACCTCTGGCCTGTACCCCAGTTCCCATATGCATAAATAAATCTTTTCTTAAAAAAAAAAAAGGAAAATGAAAAAAGAAAATTGCAGATTCTATGGTATTATGATCTGTTATAAGGAAAATGTTCCATGGTCAGGAAAGTTTAGAAATCACCAGGCAGCACGCAGACAGACTCTCTGTGTATTTACCATGCCATGCACTGGGACTCTCCAAGAAAGGAATAAGGTATGTGATATGTCCCAAACTTATTTGAACTTTTCTTCAACTTATCCCTGCTAACATCCTTTAGTAGGATATTCCTTAAATAAAAAGAGTGAGAAGAACTCTATCAAATATTAACCTATCATTTTTAACACAAGTGCTATCCTGATTTTTCTGAACTTACATGACCTAAATCTCTATGATGTGTATTTCCTTATTATGCATATACACTACCTCATCATCTTCTTCAAGACATAGATCAACCTCTTACCCGAGAGCTAGAACTATCCATGGGACAGTCGTATTTGATCAGCCAGTTGTCGTTGCCCCGATCTGTCAACAGAAATATAAAGTTAGTAGAAAAACTGGCTTTCACTTTCAGTAATGGTGGACTAGCTATTTTAATTAGTCCATTTATGCAATGTAACACTTGGACCATCTCATCAATGTTACCAAACACAGTAAAAGAATGAAGGGAAAAAACACATCATCATCTTGATGCAGAAAAAACATGATGAAATATTTTTTTTGATAAAAACACCTAATAAACTAGGAGTAGAAAGAAACAACCTCACCATAATAAAAATCAAAAACCCGTAGAAAGACTAAACAATTTTCCTCTAAGACCTAGTCCTGAAAGCCCACTTTCACCACTTTTATTCAACAGTACTAGAAAACTAGAGCAATTATGCAAGAAAAAAAAGGGGGGAGGTAAATTGAAAAGGAAGAGGTAAAATCATCTGTTTGCAGAATGTAGACATCTCTTCCCCCAAAAAAGAAATGTAGAGTTGCAAAATATAGAAACCTGCCCCCCCCCAATAAAAGAAAACCTTACAGATTCACACACAAAAAACTGTTGGACAAATACTCAGCTAAGTGTAAGGATAAAATGTCAACACACAAAAGTCAGCTGCATTGTTATTTACTAACAGTGAATAACCCAAAAGGAAATTAAGAAGGCAACTCCATTTTCAATAGCATCAAAAAGAACACTTAGGAATCAATTTAACCAAGGGGGTGAAGAGTTTGCAATGAAAGCTCTAAGCACTGCCAAAAAAAAAAAAAAAATTAAAGAAGACATAATAAATGAAAAGATATGTTTATAGAAAAAAATGACTTAATATTGTTAACATGTTAATACTACTCAATACAATCTACAGATTTAATGCCAATGATCTTTTTAAAAAGGTTTATTTTAGGGCCCTCCCTGGTGGCGCAGAGGGTTAAAGCACTGCACTAAGAAGCTTAAGCCACTTCCGCATGAGTTCCATCCCCGCCTGCCCCAGAGGAGATCCACATGGCTCAGCAGACCTCTCCTGATGGCTCGGCAGACCTCTCCTGACCCGCCCGCCACTCCCCTCAGTGATGTAGTTCGTAGATCTGCCTGTTCTGCTCCCCTCTCTGTCTCTGGTGAATCCTGACCCGCCCGCCACTCTCCTCAGCGGTGTACTTCGTAGATCTGCCTGTTCTGCTCCCCTCTCTGTCTCTGGTGAATCCTCTCACCCTCCGCATCTCTGGCCTGTACCCCAGTTCTGTATGAATAAATAAATCTTTAAAAAAAAAAAAAGTTTTATTTATTTACACATACAAGAACTAAAGTGTAGGCCAGAGGTATGGGGTGTGAGAAGATTCACCAGAGACTGAACACAGACAGAATATAGGCAGATCTACTGAAATACACTGCTGAGAGGAGCAGTGGGTGAGACAGGAGAGGTCTGCTGTGCCATGTGGGTCAGCCCCTGGCTGGGGATCAAGCCACAGTGGCTGCTGATAGCTTGATAACATTGAGACTTTAATCCCTGTACCACCAGGGAGGCCCCCTCCTTGATTGTTTTTTGCAAAAATGGAAAAAATCATCCTAAATTCATATAAATTCTCCAGGGGGCCCTTCCTGGTGGCTCAGTTGGTTAAAGTGCAGCACTATGAAGTTATCTATATCCACTGCTGCATTCGATCCCAGTAGGGAGCTGACCCACATGGCACAGCAGACTTCTCCTGACCCACACACTGCTCCCCCAACAGTGTATTTCAGTAGATTTGCCTGTTCTGCTCCCCATTCTGTCTCTGTTGAACCCTCTCACCCCATGCACTTCTATCTAGCCTATACCCCAGTAGTCGTTGTGTGCATAAATAAATAAATCTTAAAAAAAAATCTCAAGGGACGCCAAACAGTAAAACAATCCAGAAAATGAACCAACTTGGAAGACTCACACTTCCTCCAAAAGTTTGAAACTTACCATAAAACTAGCCTTACTAACAAGCTGAAGTAATCAAAATAGCATAGTCCTGGCAAAAAGAGATTTACAGACCTACAGAATTGGGAAGAAAGTCTTGAAATAAACCTTTGTATATATGGATCAAATGATTTCTGACAAGGGTGGCAAGGTTACTCAGTGGGGAAAAGTCAGTCTTTTCAACAAATGAGGGCTAAGAAAATGGAATATCCACATACAGAAAAATAAAGGTGGACCCTTAGCTAGCATCATGTATAAAAGTTAACTTAAAATAGACTCAACCTAAATCTAAGGACAAAAATTATAAAATTTATACAAGAAAACAAAGAATAAAAGCTGTGTGACATTGGATTTGGCAACGATTTCTTACATATAACTCTTAAAGGCATCGACAAGAGAAAACAGATGAAATGAACTTCATGAAAAATTTACACTTGATCTTAGCCAAAAGGCCAAGAAGCAATCATGAAAAAAATTTTTTAAAAAGATGTACTTATGGCCCTCCCTGGTGGCGCAGCGGGTTAAAGCACAGCACTGAGAAGCTAAAGCCACTTCCGCATGAGTTCGATTCCCGCCTGCCCCGGAGGCGACCACATGGCACGGCAGACCTCTCCTGACCCGCCCGCTGCTCCCCTCAGCAGTGTACTTCGTTGATCTGCCTGTTCTGCTCCCCACTCTGTCTCTGGTGAAGCCTCTCACCGCTCCTGAGCCTCTGGCCTGTACCCCAGTTCTGTATGCACAAATAAATCTTTATAAAAAAAAAAAAAGATGTACTTATTGTGGGGCCCTCCCTGGTGGTGCAGCGGGTTAAAGCATAGCATTAAAAAGCCAAAGCCACTTCAGCATGAGTTCGATCCCAGCCTGCCCCAGAGGTGATCCACATGGCGCAGAAGACTCTCCTGACCCGCCCACTGCTCCCCTCAGCAGTGTACTTCATCAGTCGGCCTGTTCTGCTCCCGACTCTGTCTCTGATAAATCCTCTCACTGCCCCTGAACCTCTGGCCTGTACCCCAGCTCTGTATGCATAAGTAAATAAATCTTAAAAAAAAAAAAAGATGCATTTATTTATTTCTACATATAAAACTGGGGTACAGGCCAGAGGTGCAGGGGTGGTGAGAGGATTCACCAGAGACAGAGTGGGGAGCAGAACAGGCAGATCGACAAAATACACTGCTGAGGGGAGCAGTGGGCGAGACAGGAGAGGTCTGCTGTGCCATGTGGGTCACCTCCAGGGCCAGGGATTGAACTTGCACTGAAGCTGCTTCAGCTAGCTTGTAGTGCTGTGTCCTAACCTGCTGTGCCATCAGGGAGGGCCCGCAATCATGAAAATTTTAAAATTAACAAAGAATAGACAAACCACATATTGGGAGGAAGCACTTGCAAATTATGTACCTGATAATGGATTAGAATATGTAAAGAATTTCTATAATAAATCATATAATCTGATTTGAAGATGGCAAAGAAGACATAGGGTTAATAGTACACAAAAATATGTTCCAATCAGTAGTCAATAGGGAAATCCAAACCAAAGGGAAGAGATACCACCTCACACCGATCAGCTGTGAAAAAAAAAAAAACAAAACAGGAAATAAACAGTGTCAAGTGTGGGGAGAAATTGGAATTCCTGTGCACTGCTGATAGTAATTGATAACAGTGTAATCCTGTGGGGGGAAAGTACGGTGGTTCTTCAAAAATTAAACATAGAATTATCATACAGTCCAGCAATTCCACTTCTGGAATACTCCAAAAGCTACATGCTCAAAATACTTAGAAGAACTGAAAGCAGCATCCCAAAGACACATCTGTATACCCACGTTCATTACTGCATTATCAGTAACTGAAAAGTAAAAGCAACTCAAATGTCTTGACAGAAGAATGAATAAGCAAAATGCAACAGAAACATATATAATGTATTTTTTTGTAGCAGTAAAAAGGAAAGGTATTCTGACATATGCACAACATGAATCAAAGGAGTACATTTTACTAAGTGAAATAAGCTGTCACAGAATGACAAATCCTGTATGAGTTCACTTATATGAGATTCTTAAAAGACAAAAAAAGTCCTCTGAGAGGTCTTGCTGTTATAACAATGACTAGGGATCAAGGATTAGAGTCCTTTTTATGTTGCTGTGGATGCACCTAGTGGCTTTTGCCAGGGACCAGAAGAGAGTATGAATGAAATGTAAGTACTGGTTCCAGGCCTCGCTACTTCTGATAACTGCATGTATGTTCCTAGACATAACCTGTCTTGGAAAAGTATTCAGAGACTCTCCCTGAATGTGCGTACACTTAGACAAAACAAACTCATACTGGCAAAGCACTTTGCTACTAAAGCCTGTAAGTCATCAGGCCTCCAGTGTTAAGTGCCTCACCACAGTCTGGCATGGGGACAGGGCCATACAGAAGCTCACCAGTGTTGCGGATGATGTAATCCAGCACCACTAAGCGCTCAAACTGCAGCAGTAGCTGCCGGTTAGTGTTCTCGGGAAGAGGCTCTGCTTCAAAACGCCGTAGCCAGTAGTCTGCATCTTTGTAGCCTTCAACAAAGATCTGAAATGAACCAACCTGCAACCAAGAAGAAGGAATCAAGGTATTTCCCTACAGGCTAAGTCCAAAGACCCCAGGATTAAGCCAGGTATCCATTAAGGGACAGTGGAGCTCATCAATGAAGGAGAAAGTTGTAAAGGCCTTCACTTTTCCTCATCACCTTGCAAGTATAGGAGAAAAAAGGTGACAGCACAACAAAACCCAAGAGACCTACTTAAATAGTCCCGAGGGGAAAAGTGATAAAGTGAAGGTCTCTACTCTCTGGGGAATTATTCTCCAAACTGTAGAACACTGACAGAACTGAGGAGGCCAGGAGCATCTAGGCAGGTCGGCAGATCCTTCCACCGATATACCACTATAAGTCCCCTTTGATAAGCCAGGGAAGTGCAGGCTATACCTTTGGTGGCAGCCCGATGCGGTTAAACCGCTGCCCAACTTTTGGCACTTTCTCTAATGCAAGCCGCTTGCCCCTGGACTTCACTCTGTCAATGGCACTGTAGTTGAAGGTCTCACTGGCCAGGTATACCACCTACAGTGGAAAGAGAAGCAATACCTAGGTTAGTGTCAAGTTCATGGAACTACATTCTACCACTATGCAGAGAATAGCCAGATGCTTACCAACACTGTCCCCCTTCCAGGGCACATGGAAAGAAAACATCTCGTGGCTTTGACAGAAGCTAAGATAGAGTACACATTACTTTGGACAAGAGGAATTTGACAAAATAATATATGTACCTCACTTCGAGGCCTTATCCCTAAAATCTCCCATGACGCTTAGTTTACATTCCCTAATCTGTACAGCTGAAAATGAAGGCTCTGAATCGCATCACGAAGGATCCTAGACCCCCTGTCACTACACAGACAGCAGGAGAGCTGCCTAATTAGTCTAGGTCTATTATGTAAGCAGGAAACTGATTCCGACTATACTAAACCACAGGGGCTGTAAACAGCAGCTAGCATGAACTAGCCCGACTAGTATAGCAACCCTGGATTAAAAGATGGCCCAACCAATGCCTGCTTTCTCTTTTGGAAAAAAAATTGTTAACATACTCTATACTCTCTTATTTTCTTTTGGATTTGTACTACATGCAATTATTTACACTGAAAAAAAATTGATCTTAATTGTTAGTGGATTTCTATAAATATACTTAGTTATATCTGTAATATTATATACTTAGTTATATCTGTAATATTATACAAGAAACTAGTAATACACCTGCCTCAAAGGAAAAAAAAACTGAGTGGTAAAAAATCAGATGTATGCATGGCCTATTTGAAAAAAAAGAAAAAAACATTTTTTAATGGGCCATCAGTATTACATTTGATTGTCAAATTGTGATGACATCATTATAATCATCATCCACATGTAGTCCTATTATCACATCTACCACACTGTCTTGTGAGTATCCATTCATATATTAATTTCTCTCTTAAGACTAATGAAATTTGGGGAATAAGATAACATCTTATTCATTAGCATCCTCAGTACCTCACGCAGTGCCTGGCACATGATCACTACATATTTATTAAGTGAATGAATGGCTAAGTTACATTCAAGTTTGCAAAATCTATTACAAAAAACTACACATCAAAATACAAGAGAATGGAGAGAGAGATATTGGAGCAAAAGAATTCCCTCCCTCTCATCCCTCCATCCCTCCATCCCTTGGTCCATCCAATGTGAGCAGAGTACCTAAAATGGATGTGTAAGGTGCTATAGGTTGGCACTCCCTGCCTTGAAAATCAGGAAACACATGCATAAGAATAAAGAGGGAAAAAAGGTTCTCCAAAGATCACCTTGCCGGTTTCCACGGTGAAAACCCCAGTTTTGTCAAGCCATAAATAACCCTTTTACTCACACCCCATCAGATTTACTTTTGATCATGCCTAAAATCACTTTTTTCTATGACTAGTGAAGCTATCAAAACCTGAAGCCTCACAAAACAGAGCAGAAACAACTAGCCAGGGAAAATCAGTGCCCTACTACTTGAAGTCCCATACAATATGAGCCGTTTCCATAGTGATCCTCTGATAGACTGGATAGAATCCTGTCACAGGGATGGAGAGGCCAAAAAGGAAGAGACTTTCTCTTACTATTCTCCAGCAGCTGTATGTAAAGCTTGCAAAGTTCTCTCTCATCTCAGTCTCTTGTAACTAGTGTTTTAGCTCTTGCTGACTTCTTGATGCAAAAGATTTTCTGGCCCCATTAAAATTCTTTAACAGGGAAAGAGAAAGACCAGAGATGGGAAAGAAAAGGATTGGGCGGTGGGGGAAAGTAATATTACTGATTAGTCACAAAAATACCCCAAGCTAATATGTGTGGAGTATTTACACTGTGCAACGCATGGTTTACATGGAATATATTACATAATCTTAAGAACCACCCTATAAAGTAGGAGCTATCTATATCCCTATTTTTATAGAGAGGAAACTGAGGGGTGGAAACTGAGTAGTAAAAAAAAAAAACAGAACAGATGAGGGGGTGTTAAGTGCCCCAGGGTGACCCACTAAAAACCTGCAAAGCTAAAATTGACTCAAGCCCTCTAATTCTTGGGCACTGCATTCCAGAAGCAGAGAAGGCAGGCACAAGCCCAGGGCAGTCTGCTATTTACCTATTAAAGAAATGAAATTACAGTGATGAGCAAGGAGCACTGTAAGAGTTCTTACAGTCTAGGAGGGATCTAGTAGGAGAATTTCAGGTTAGGTAGGATGTGTCAAGAGCATTAATTATCATACAAGATGGTCAAAGTGCGCTGTGTGACTAGATGCAGAGCGAAAACTCAAGGCACAAAGGAAAAGAATGAATTGCACAAGGTTAGGCAGTGAAACACATGACAAATGGGAGCTACAAGCCTGAAACCACAAATATTCTCTCCACAGACCTGAAGTTTAGGCTCTCTAGTATTGTTTCTCGTGGCTTGATATTCATTTACTGATTCAGCTGGTATTTACTGAATGTTTACTCTAAGTATAGTGCTTTGCTAGAATGAGAGAAGGAAATTTTAAGAAATGGTCCAGAAACTTACAAACTAGCTGGCTTACTGTTTGGAGTTTGATGGCAAAGGAGGAGACACAGTTAAATATTCACCATAGTCACATTTTCTCCTAACATATCCTGGTAAAATAGAAAAAGAAAAAAAGTTTGAAGGGGGTCCTCCCTGGTGGTGGTGCTGTGGGCTAAAGTGCAGCACTACAAAGCTAGCCACAGCTGCTTCAGTGCCAGTTCGATCCCCGCCAGGGAACTGACTCACATGGCGCAGCAGACCTCTCCCATCTTGCCCACTGCTCCCCCTCAGCAGTGTATTTTGTCATTCTGTCTGTTCTGCTCCCCACGATGTCTCTGGTGAACCCTCTCACCCCCCACATCCCTGCACCTCTGGCCTGTACCCCAGTTCTGTATGCATAAATAAACCTTAAAAAAATAAATAAAAGTTTAAAGGGAAGTTCCTACCTGCTATCAATCTCTTTGTCCATAGAATCTGCTACTTAAGCCTTCACAAAGAAAACCTCAAGCAGGGACTTTCAATCTAGAGGCATGGTCTTTAGGGAGTAAATGGATGGACTTCAACTTGTCTGTGAGTCATCCCCCTGAAAATTATATGTATAGTTATATATAAAATAATAACTGCTAATAAATGTGTTTTTCTGGAAACAAAATCTATTGCTTTTTGTTTTTTTTTTAAGATTTATTTTGGTTTATTTATGCATATAAGAACTGGGGTATACGCCAGAGGTGCAGGGTGTGAGAGGATTCACCAAAGACAGAATAGGAGAATCTACTGAAATACACTGCTGAGAGGAGTGGTGGACAAGACATGAGAGGTCTGCTATGCCATGTGTGTGCCACAGTTGATGGCAAAAAAAGTGCTGAGACTTTAACCCCTGCACCACCAGGGAGGCCCAAGATCTATAGTTTTGATCACTCAGAGAGGACTAAGGATAGTTAGACAAGTTCCAGAACGCACAGCATAAGGATGGCTGAGGAAAAGTCCAAGTCAGTTCACTAAAGAGGTTTAGGTCAAAACTTCGTTCTAACTGTCAGCCCATCTAGAGTTCTCCTTGTCAGACCATGCACAAGTACTCAGAGATTATCAGCTAGCCCATCCTAGAAAGGAACTAAATGGCTACTAAATCTAGGAACTAAATCTCAGGGGGTGAACCACAAAAGTAGACAAGTTCTGAACCAGCTTAAGGTTATCTAGGGAACCCATAAATATGCACCAAGAATCACCAAACTTCTAAAAATTGTATGCAAAAATTTCAGTGCTTCCTTCTCAAGATCCCTTTCATCTGATCACATCATGAGCCAAAATCTACCACCTCTCCCAAAAGGATAAGAAGCCCTACTTAGGGTATAATGAGCCCTCACTGGACTTAGTCATCTCACTAACGTGTAGCAGAGCTTTGACTCCAGGAAAAAGTTCCCTGGAGACAGGTCACTGACCTTTGTACGGGGTACAATGTTGAGTTCCAGTTTTTGATCGACCAGGCTGGCCCCTGCCTCTGAAAGATAGCCCTGGTTCAGAACAAGGCAGTCACGGCCAAAGCAGCAGGGACAGCACAGCTTTTGCAGCCACTTGGTCCATTTAGGATTTAGTTGTCCATAAGGCTCTTCATTCTTGGGTTTGAAGACAGCAATAATCTTCTATAAAATGAAAAAGAAAAAAAAAAGAGGATGTTAAGGGCAAGTTGATCAAACTAACTCATAGCTAGTTTAATTAATCAATAAGAATCTAGAAAGAAATGAGAAGGTGAAAGCACCATGACTCCTTCTAAAGTCTACCTACTTCCAGAAGCCCTTAGGCTGGCCTCCAGAGAAAACCCTTCCTTCCATCCCAATGGTCATCCTCTCCTCACAAGCCACACATGCCCTGAGCCCAGCATGCCACCACCTCACACAGGCCACTTCTGCAGGCAGCAACAGAACAATGTGGCCATTTAAAACACACATGTACAAAAAGAGAGAGGGCAAAGGCAGATAGCCCCAACTTCCGGTCAGAAACAGCCCTCTCCCCAGCTTGTAAGGGGAAGACTCCCACTCACATGTGCGAGGAAGGAAACCACTATTTAGAAAGGGCTATAGCCAAAGAAGGTTCCGAGCTTGCTATATACGGTACAACAGAAATTGAACACCACTAAACCCCAACTTCCCAGGTACATACAAACACACTATGACTCTGCATCAACTATGTAGTCTCAAAAAATAATCAACAGAGGCAAATTAGATATTAAGGAATGAGGGTAAGAAAATGCCTTCATTAACAGTTGATTTCCTCTATCAATTTTACTATCCCACCTCCTGAATATTAATAACACCTTAAAATAAAAAGTTTAGGTATGGCAAAAGAACAAAGCAACAGAAGAGAAAAATCATAGCAGGTAAAGGAATCTGCTAGCTGGTTAGAATGGAGTTCTTTTAAATAATTGTGATAGGCAACAGATTAAGAGAGGAGTTGCCACAAACATTAAAATCCAACCTCCCTAGTAGATGGTAACTGAATCCTCAAAGGTGTTTGGAAATACCGGGTGCTGCTGCAGCTCAGGAACTACGGCTCTCCCTCCTGAAGGTCTCTTCCCCAGGCCAGTAGGCCCTCATTCCCTCCTGTCCCCAAACTGATAATTTCAAAGAAAATATAGTATATACTCAGGTGATTCATCTTCATATCATATGACTCTCCCTCTCCCTTCATCCCACAGCCAAATTAAGCTAGTCTGGGTCATAAGACATTCTCCCATGGGTGTCACTTCCTGAATGGCAGGTCACAGCATAAAATATGCATCCATCTGCCTGCATTAAGTACTCACATTAGGAATTGGCTTGATCCATATCTCCAACAATTACTAATCAATTTGGGGTCAGTTCCTTCAAGAAGCCTTGCAAGGATGTCAGATGGTAAGAGAAATACAAAATGTTCCTCCTCCCTCCAAAAGAATCAATATATTCTTAAACACAGCAGACTTATTTACCCCCCCAAAAGTTAAATGCATATATTCATATCAAAACTCTTCAGAATTACATTTTTATCCACAGTGGCTAGTAAGAGACCTAAGTAGCAACCCTCCTCTCTATCTCTGCTTCTCTGTGTCAGCTCTGAACCACACAGCAGCAGTAGTGAGGGGCTGGCCATATGTGGGGCATCCCATATTCCCAAGAACCATTGAGGAGTCCATGGTAAACCCTAGAATCTCAGCAGTGGAACCACAGGACAACCTGACACACATTCTAGAGCCCAAAAGTTCAACTGCGGCACAAAATGGAGTGCAGCAAACTGGGGAAAGGGAAAAAGAAAGGGAAAGAAAGGGAAACTAAGAAAGGGAAAGAAAGGGAAACTAAGAAAGGGAAAGAAAGGGAAACTAAGATATTCCTAATATGAGCAGGGACTGAAAAATATCAGGACAGACTTAAATACTCCACTTAAAGAAAGCAGAAACTGTAGGCCAATATAGCAGCCAAGCATCATGTATAGTCTGAACTCAAACTTTCAATTCCCTCTCACCATGAGGATAAGCAGAATGCATTTCACCAACTCTAAAAGCATCTCAGTATTAACAAGGGTTTCATAAATAATAGTGCTGGACTGAGCAAATGAGGGAATGATAGGGTGGGGAGAATGGAGGAATAGAAAGACATTCAGACAGAAAAGAGACAAGTGCTTTTCAGGGCTGAGTGTAGGACTCAGTCCTATTTGGTTCTGTTAACACTTGCTCAGCACCAAGTTTGTGTGAGCGCTCTGAGGAGTTGCTAGCTAGATATGTAAGTAAATCCCTGGACTAATTTCCAAAGCTGTATGTTCATTTTACATTATCCACTGTGTTACTGAACAACGAACACTGTCCTTAGGGAAATCAAACTTAAAACCATTCGGATTAGAAAGACTCTGACCACTTTGGTTGCGAAAGAAAATAACTACTGCCTATTTTTTCTTACCATTCTCTTTTTTAATATACGTTCATTGCATTTAGAAGAAAGCTTCGGTTTAATGCCAGTATTTTCAAAACACTTCTCCTTAACATTCACTTACTCTTTTAATGAAAAGGGTAAGGTACAGAAAGCTTAAGAAGCAGCAAGAAATTGGAAATAAAAACAGAATTGCACGAGGAAGCAAAAGGTCATTCACTGGAACCTGGAGCCTAAGGAGTACCCTTTGGATACCCAAGGGGTTTTGGGTATCTATCCAGCAGCCCCAAGGAAGGCAATATTGTGCCATGTGAAAATCCAGGACAGTCAAGCACATAATTCATGTTGCACAGTGAAATATATACAGAAATACCTTAACAAAACAAGTTTGTTCTTTTTTTAAGTTTGATATACATGGAGCGGACAGCTCTCAAACTTTTGGGTCTCAACATATCTTTAAACTTTTAAAAATTAATAAGGAGCCCAAACACCTTTGTTTACGTGGGGAAAATATATATTTGCTCTATCAGAAATTAAAATTGAAATGTTAAAACCATTAATAATAAAAATAAATCCATTACATGTTAACCTAAGAGATACGTTGTTATGGAAAGTAGTTTTTTAAAAACAATTTTTTGTGAGAAGAATGACATTGTTTTACATTTTTGCAAATCTCCAGTGTTTGGGTTAATAGCATAGAACTTCATTAGTATTCAACCAATTTTGATATCACATATCCTGCAGCCTCTGGAAATCTTCCCTGTACACCCATTAGGTAATTATAGTGAAAAAGGAAAACAGTCTTTAAATTAGTATGAAAATAATTTTGGGGGCCTCCCTGGTGGCACAAGGGGTTAAGCACAGCACTTTGAAGCTATCAGCAGTCACTGCAGCATGATTTCAACCCCCAGTCAGGGAAGTAGGTAACCCACATGTCACAGCAGACCATTCCTGTCTCACCCGCTGCTCTTCTCAGCAGTGTACTTCAGTACATCTGCCTGCTCTGTTTCCTACTCTGTCTCTGATGCACCCTCTCACTCACTCCCCCCCACACCTCTGGCCTGCACCCCAACTCTTTTATATACAATAAATACATCTTTAAAAAAAATTTTTGATCTATGGATTCCAAAGGAACTGCTTCAGGCCCCTGAACTATTTCTGACAACTGTTGTATTCTGAATCAGAGGTTGGAAGAAAGGAAGTCTTTTATGTTAAAATCTTACAGAAAACAGGGATGATCTACTCCAAATATGAGACCCTGAAAGAAGAAGACAGAATCCAAATTGAATGTTATAAAAGACAAGTAGTCTAGAGTTATTTTCCCATTCACTGCCATTGACCCAACCTGCCTCAGCCTTAAATGAATGGCCTGCTTGGCTCCCTATAACAGACAATAAATGATGCTTTAAATCTCACAAAATGCAATTATGGATGATTTGCAAACATAACTCCTCCTTAACATTTTAGCTTTAAAAAATTACTGCTTGAAATTCTTTATTTGGTGACAGTTATCAGTGTGGTTCTCAACCAAGTACAAGGACATCAGAATTTCTTAGGGGGCACACATAGTTAGAAGAAGTATGTTCAGGACCTCCCTGGTGGCATAAGGAGTTAAGCTGCAGCACTATGAAGCTATCTGCAGCATGAATTCAATCCCAGCCAGGGAGCTGACCCACATGACACAGCAGACCTCTCCTGTCTCACCCACTGCTCTCCTCAGCAGCGTATCTCACTCAATCTGCCTGTCAGTTATCCCACTCTGTCTCTGGTGAATCCTCTTACCCCCACCTCCACACCTCTGACCTGTACCCCAGTTCTTGTATACATAAATAAACAAATCTTTAATAAAAAAAATGATGCATGTGCAGTATTACAGCTTTACACTTGAAAAATGGGGGGAAAAAATACCATATTATGTTTGTGTAAAACTCAATTTTTAAAATGGCTGATAATTACTGATGAAGGCCAACTTCCTAGAAAATGTGTGTGTGACTAAAATTTTGGAGTAAATATCAATTACTATTGATAATTGAATTACTATTCCCAATGGTCATGAAAGCATCTTCCCAAAATTATACTGCTTTTACCTTATTCAGTGCGATATAAGCAAGAAAGTCTAATCCTGAGGTTAGTAAGCATGAAACCTCAAAACAAAACATGCTGAGCTCCTGCTAAGCACTAGAATTATGCCAGGGCTTTCATGTGTGAGATCTCATTTTAATCCTCCTAATAAACTAGTGAACCACATGCTAGTCTGTGACTCCCAGCAGTACCAACATCTGTCTGTGAGTACTAGCCCCATAACAGAGAAAATGCTCAAAAGTCTGTTGTAGATGAGTAGGCATGAGACCTGAAGCACAGGATGTAAGTGAGGAGGGTAATATGAGTATTCTCTACCAAGATTTCTGATCTGGCATTTTCCGTCTTACTGTTCCTGGTACCCACCATATGTTTGCCCTGAGGGAGAAACCACCCTAGCTGGGAAGTAGAATCAGGGCTAATATTTACAAGAACCTTTTAAACTCTATCTGCAAAAGCAGCTGCTGCAAGAACTGCTGGTTCTCCCAATCCTTGTTGCCTCTTCTTTGGACACAGACCCCTGAGCTTTAGCTGCACAAGATAAACACTAATTCTGAGTCATTGTTGCAGTGATGTTCTAAACAATTAAATATAAGAACAATCTGGCACAACTTTTTGGAAATGTATTAAAGGGAGAGGTTCTTAAAACTTGACTGAGGCCCTCCCTGGTGGCGCAGCGGGTTAAAGCACTGCACTGAGAAGCTAAAGCCACTTCTGCATGAGTTCGATTCCCGCCTGCCCCGGAGGTGACCACATGGCGCGGCAGACCTCTCCTGACCCGCCCGCTGCTCCCCTCAGCAGTGTACTTCGTCGATCTGCCTGTTCTGCTCCCCACTCTGTCTCTGGTGAAGCCTCTCACCGCCCCTGAGCCTCTGGCCTGTACCCCACTTCCTGAGTAACCACCTAGGAGTCCTGGTAAGAACAGCTAATCAGCTGGATGGAAGGAGTCTGCAGCACTCATAAAATGAAATCCCACATCTGCTCTGAACAGTAGACTTCTCGTATAAGAGTTATTGACTCATTGCTTTTCTTCAAGTTATTGTTATTTAAAATTTTTGATTTTCTGTCATAAATAGCCAAGTCTATATTCTAGGTGAAAAGAGAAATCAGAAATTCAGTGACTAACTCAGAGGGAGGGGAGCATACTGGTTAGGAGCATAAACGCAGGAGTTAGCACGTCTGCATCTGAATCTTTCCTCCCACTTACTAGTTATTAGGTGCTGGGTAAATTATTTAGAGAAATATTACCTACCTTCAAGAATGTTGTTACAGAGCTTTAGTTATTGTTTGTAAAGCATTAAAAACAGTAACTACTATACAGTAAGTGCTATCTAAGCAAATGTTAAATAAAATAAACACATTTGGAGCAGGGTCAAATATAACAAGATGAACTACAGAGAGTCTGTGGGTCAGGTTAGCCCAGCATAGCATTTAGGAAGTGGTCGTCTACCTGAATCACATTTCCTCCACAGAAGCAGGATAGTTACATTAATGAATTTTGTCAGAACATGTGTGTTTTGACTTCCCCTCTAAGAAAGGACAGCGACCAGGAATTTTAGAGACTGGGATCCTGCATATCGCCAAAGAACATATCCACAATATGTCATTCTGTCTCAGACACTGAGGTAGTAGTACTTTACCTGCCAGGTACAACTGAGAGATCCTATTACTCCCACCTGTCAAGCACCAGATCACTTCTCAGCTGACCTGACATACTTACCGCAGAGGTATAACAGTGTCATGAAAGAAAAACAAAAGCCTTCTTCCTACTGCTGTACCTCTCAAAGACAATCTCAGTCCCTTTTTCTATCATCCAACAAGCTTTAAAAAAACACAAAATGAAAGAAAGTAAAAACCCTCACGCATCAGAACTCATTCTGGTTCACTTACAAAAAAATGAAAGCAAGTTGCCAATAACTAGACTTCCGGATACCTACCCTTCTTTACTTCTAGAAGTGAATGGTTCTCCTTTGAGCTTTCAGTTTAACTTACTGCTTCTGTATTTGAAGAACTTAGGAAGATGTATTATTCTCAAAGCTTTCCTCATCTCAGTTTATGTTAACTGAACTGATGACAGAATTACTCTGATTCTTCATAATCCAGCGATGACATCTGGAGAATGAATCTAATGAAGAGCTACAAGTCACAGCCCATCCTGATCACTCAGCATTCCTATCAAAACAATACACCATCCATTTAAAAAGTTTACATAAGAGAGATGCAGGGGAAATTTGAGGGAACTTTAACACCTATTACTTTAATAAATATAATAATACTTTTTCCTAATAAACCACCTGGTACAGTCTGAGAACTTTGACAGGGAAGAATTTTTTTTGACCCACTGCTCTTCCAATGATACCTCTGGTTTCATCTAAATGCTCAGATTGTTTAGCAGTTCTCAGGAGGAAAAAGGTCACTCCATGCCCCATTCCATCCCACCCCATCCTCCAGTACACACAGACAAGGGACCAAATAAAGGTCAGCAAACGCTATGCTTTAGCTGGAAAGCAAACTACTAACAGTCATAAGAGAGAAGTGATAACAAAAAGCAGCTGACAGTCCCATGTTTCTAAAATTCCTCATTCCAAACTCAGGCACCCTAAGAGAGGATTTGAACAATTTCCCAGAAGTGAGCAATAACCAAGACAGATGAACGGGTGAATCCACCCACTCTGATCACCAGTGTCTGCCAGTAAGAGACCTGGGACGGTCGTAGGACACCTCCCACAACACAGAAGGCTTGAACTGAACCTTCAGAGCCCCCACCAGCTCACCCATCCTCCTCAAAGCACAGTGACAAAAAGAGTTCAGTCAAACGAAGAGAGGTCGCTATAGAGACCGAACAGGTCGGTCCAAAACGAGAGAACAGGCCCACGGCTCAAATCTGTAGTTTCTATAGTTTAACGATGAGGAAAGAGAAATGAAGAAAAAGGAACCTACTAGAAAGCATCCCCGGTCTCTCTCTGCTCAGAGGCTGCGATTGCCCCATCACACAACAGTGTGCCACGCTGTATCTGGTCAATTTCCTCTTTCCATTTTCCGCTCACTCCTCCCCCACAAAGTGGGTTCTGATTTATTTCTTCATTCCGCAGAGCTTCCCCACGGCCAGCCCTTAACGACATCCCAAAATCCTGCCAACTGGCTCCGCACGGTGAAGTTTGCCTCTTTTGCAGCCGTACAGCCCTCCTTCTCCCTCTGGGAGTGCGAAGCCCTAAACTGCCCGGACAGACCCACCTCCCCAAAGCCCACAGCCCGCTCTCACCCCCTGAAAGTCCTTGACGAAGTAGCTTCCACTGGAGCCCTGGTAGATGCGTTCGGGGAAGATGCCGCGCTCGATGGCCACCTCGGCCTGCCGCACCACTACCTCGAACTCCGGGTCCTCCGGAAAATCGTTCCGCTCGCAGTGGGCCTGCGCGGCGTGTGCTGCCGCCGCGGCCTGGGCGGCCAGGGCTTGGGCCTGCGCCGCCACGGTTTGGGTCTGGCTCTGGGCCGCCGCGCCCCGGGCCCGATCCAGCAGCGGCTGCCGTTCCCGGTCGTGGCCTGGCGAGCCCGGCGGAGAAGGGACCGGACCGGCCGCCGACGCCACTCGGATTGCACCCCCCGGCACCTGCGGAAAGTGCGCACCCGAGCCGGACGGGAAGGTGTAGTCCGGGGGTTGAGCCCGCTCGGGGGACACTAGTGGGCTCGTCTCGTCCATCCCTCAGGCCGCCGGCTCCCGGACCCGGCGCGCTCCACACAGCTGAGCTCGCTGCCGGAACCAATCCCCGACGCCCCCACCCACGCCTGGCCAATCACGTCGCGGCGCCTCTTTGACCCGCCTCTACCTTACCTGTTTACTTGGCGACGAGTAGGCACGACCCCTCGCGCGCGAACGGTAGCCAATCAGAACCAGCTCCTACGCAATCGCCCCTCCGCATTTTTCTTCCGTCATCTTCTGTGAAGACTGCGCGTGCTCCGGGAGCCAAACTCCGGTCAGACACGCCCTCTGCTCCAGCCAGCCCAGTCCCGCCCTTAGCGCAATGGCTGACTGGTGGTTGAGTGCTTCAATAAAGTAACTACCTAAACAGTCGCTGGTTTGAGTGCTCACTGAAATCGGAGCAATCTAATCTTCGCGTTCGCACTCATCCACTCCTTCCTCCTCAGTTTTTGGGCTGTATTTAATAATTAAATTGATATGAGACATTAACAGGAGAAAGCAAATATATCTATATATATATATATGAAAGCTCAAAGATGTGAAACTCAAGGGCAAGTTGACAATTGAAGTTTATTTGCCATCCAGAGTCAAATGGGGCTAAGGGCTTCGTGCTTCAAAGGGGAGGAAGATCAGTCATAAGACAGTAAGAAGACCAAGTATTTGGTTATTAGATGTTTGTCCTGACATGCAGACAGGTCATTTAGACAAAAAAAATTGTCCTTGATAATCATTCTTTCTGGCACAGACCTTTTAAATTCTTTACATCAGCTGAGCAAGAGGTAAGTTTATCTAGAGTCTGCTGTCTTAAATTGCCTTCAGCTCAACATAATCTATATGTCAAAATGGCACATATGAGGGCATCTTATTTTGTCCCCCTTCATCATTAAACAATTCTCTCTTCTTCAATCCCCTAATGGTAAGCCATTAGTAGTAAATGGTAGTAGTGTTTCCTAACCTGCAGAAATTGCAGTTCACAGAAGTAATTTGGTTATAGTCTTGGATTTTTCTATGTGCCTGAATCGTTTCTTCTCATTTAGATACTAAATGTCCATGAGGACAGTCATAATGTCTTTTTCTAACCTGGCAGAACCTAGCATCACATTGTACTCACAATGTACAGTATCAACATATGGATACACTGCTTCACGCAATGGTATTTAAGAGGAGGTGCCTAATGCTGGCCCTGTATTTTAAACACAAAGGATCTGAGTTGTGACAGCACAAATCCCTGCAATGAATGCGAAGGTCCCTTCAAAGTGAATTTAAAAGACACAGTGCAAGCGCAAGGTTGACACTCCTTCGCTACAGTGGCACAGTCCAATCGTCACTTTGTACAATTTACAATTTGCACCTTAAAAGCCGTGCTTGGATTCGACCTTAAACGCGAAGCTATTTATAGTTATGGAGAAAGGAACAGAATCCGAGCCACTTGAGCTGATGATCAGTGATGCTTCTGACGCAGGTATTGTTTTGCTCGGGACTGACATTTCCGCTGGTGAGTCTCTGGACCAGCAAGACTTTACGTGAGTATCCAAGGTGAGCCAAGGGTTCTGCCCCATCCCTTTCGGATATTTGGCCCCAGGCGCTCGAAACACTCCGCCCCGCACAAAGATGGCGCGGAGCCCGGGCAGGACCAATGGGGAATGGCGTTGCTCCCGGTTGCCTAGGTAACAACCAATAGGCAGCGGGAATTGTGCCCCGTGTGGCTGCCTGGGATGGCGGCGTCAAGTAGGGCAGTCGCTGGTGGAGGTGGTGAAGAGACAGGTAGCAGGGGAGAGCCCGGCTGAGCTGAAGTCCGGGCTGCTGGAGCCCCGCGTCGGGGCGTGACCAGGTCATCCCAAAAGGCCGAGCCCAGGTTGGCTGGCAGCGCGGGTGGGAAGGGGCCGGAAAAGTGTGGTTGGTGAAGAGGGACTGAGCAGCCCACACGGATGGCAGGAGCCGGGGAGCGTGACTCCATCCTGGACACGCTGGCCGAAGGGCTGCTGCCCGTGAGGCCCCATACCCGAACGGGTCCCCGTCGCAGGGACCAAATCTTGAGAGAGCTTACGGCGCCAGGGTTAGCTAACGGTGTGGTTGGAGGCTGCGTCGGGATGGAATAGCAGACGCGTGTGAGCAGAAGACCTAGCCCGGGCGGAGAGCAGACGTGGGAAAGAGGGCTGGAGCGGTGCTGGGAGGCAAGATCGGGGTGGAGAAGGTATGGGGATATGGGCAAGGAAGTATTGCCTTGCTGCGGTCTGGGGCTTTGTTTGCACTGGGCCCGCCTCTGCCTCGCTTGGAGGTTTGGGGAATGGGATGTTTCAACTAGTTGATAGAACATCCCTACAATCTAGCATCTACAAACTGCTAAGGAGTAGGACTAACTCGGCTGAGTTAGAACCCAGCCCAGGCATTTTTCTTTCTCAGGAAATAGAATAATATCCTGGCAGTTCCAGTCACCTCCCAATCTTTTTATTTTAAATGTCAATTTTTTTCTTAAAAATCCTTTTTTCGAGTGTCAAGATTTCCTTCATTCTAACTAGCCCACAACCTTCCTAAATAAAACCTTTATCTAGTAGAGGCATATGTTTACTTTTCAAGTCAAAGAAAGACAATAAAAGACTTAGACTTGGAATAAAAGTTATTTCAAGTGTTTCATTTAAAATACTTTTAAAAAGGACATTTTGTTCTTTGTTCTAGGTTTCTTGCGAATCTAATCTTGGTTCATCAAACCTTTATTTTCTTCTTTTTAGGATTCTGAAAGCCTGAGAAGTGCCTTTTTTGTAACAGAAAGCCCTTTATAAGACTGTCATACTCTGAGGAAGATTGTTGGGGGGCTGGGAGTAATGTAAAGGTATTGTTGGGTAGTTAAGGTGTCTACCTCCAAACAGCATCCTTACACTGAACATCTTTTCCCCTTTATGTTCATTTTTTCCCCAAAAAAGCTGTTTTATTTGGACACAGATTACTATGAATACATAATTTTTTAAACAAAATTGATTTCTAAAATTAAAAAGAAAACACATGAAATGGAAACAAAAGTTCTCATTCCTATCACTGAGTCCTACTTGGAAATGTCTAGAGTAGGAGAAGATAAAGATAGCGGGGAGATAATCTATTGTACAGACTAATAGTGTAGTGGTTTACAGAGACAAAATAGTAATTTTCGTAGACAAGTGTTTGGGTTGATCTTCTGCAGCCCTTTCAAGAAAGCAGAAAGGGTGGGTATCTGTTTAGAAGCATGAATCATCTTGGCTTTGTCAGTGGATTCTATATGCATATCTGAAGCCTAAATTCCTAGGCCATCTCTTCCCTTTAAAAAGATTCTTTTAATGTTCTTAACTGAATTAAAATTGGTTTATAACATTACTTAGGTTTTAGGTGTATAGCATTATAAATTAGCATCTGTAAATACTATATTTTGTACTTCATCCTATGTCTGGTTTGCTCCCTTCAACATACAGCCGACCCATTTAACCCCTCTTAACCCCCCATTGTCTCTTCCCTTTGGTATCACCATTTTGTTCTTACATCTGAAAAGAGATTTTTTAAAAAATTGATATAAATACCAATTTGCATTTTGTATTCATTTCTTACTATTTCAGTATTGGGTTTTTCAAATTATCAGTACTGGCTATATTTTATTAAATTAGATTTGTCACAATGATCATGGTAACTGATGAAATTCCTTTTTGTTCAATGGCTATTCAGCTGATTCCAGAAGTCATGAATAGGATAATGAAAATTCTGACATTGTCCCAACAAGGGAGAATATCAATGATTTGGATATATGCAGAAGCTTTAAGTCAAATGTGTTCAACCACGACCTGAGACCTTGTGTTCCCTTTAATTAGTACTTCTGATTATGTTCTTGGGAATAGATGAGGAAATTTACTGAACTGTCTCTAGATGAAAAAGGAATGGAAATTTGTAGCATAGACTTTGTACATGCTAAAAAGGAATGGAAATTTGCAGCATGAAAACAAAATGGGAAAGGCTGGTGGCTAGGTTAGGCTGAGCTATGATAGTCTAGTTATAATTGCTCTATATCAAATTATTCCAAACTTAGCTGCACAAAACAACCAGAGATGCTCAGGAATTCTGTGAGTCAGTAATTAGGACAGGGCACCTGGCACAATCCTTCTGCTCCATGCTAACTCAGGTAGGATGCAGGCTCAATGGCTGGGGGCTAGAATCATCCATAGGTTCCTTCACTGAGCCCTGGTACCTGGCTTAGGATGATGCAAAGATGAAGACTGCCAGTTGGAGACCATCACAGGTGGCTCTGTGGAACTCAGCATCCTCAGAGTTGATCCCTCAAGGTAGGCAGACTTCTCGTTTGATCTGCTGGCTCATGGCCCAAGTGCAAGAGTGCCAACAGCTGGAAGTTGCATCATCTTTTATGACTTAATCTCAGAACGCCCCATGACCACCATCCTATACTATCGGCAACCACTAGTCTGCCCAGCTTCAAAGGAGAGGCGTTAGGCTCCACCTTGTGATGGAGCAACGGCAAGGTCAATTGCAGAAGAATGTCTAAGACAGGAGATATGATTGCATCTTTGGAAACATCTTTGGAAAATAGAATCCATCACATTTGGCAGTATGAAGAGATTTCCAAATATCTTCATGTTTCACAGACTCCCCAAGAGCTAATAATGTACCAAAGAGTGATCAGTTTTACAATTTGAGGAGTTACTTTGTTCATAGGTGATCTTCAAACTTGGAGAAACAGACCTTCTGATCCCTATGAAACAAGGTGAGAAGGTATTTGGACAGAAGGCTTTTGGAAATGTCACACAGCATTGAGTAAAAGCAAATAAATAGGAGAGGCCACCTCTTTTGCACCCTGTTTTGCCAGGTTGAGTCCTCAAGTTGCATCGCAATAACTCCAAAGTTTTGAGTAAAGACAAGCTAGTTAGCAACTGCTAAACATGTAAAGGAAATGCCTTTCTCATCTTGTAGCAGCGATGATTTTTTATATTTTAGAATAGTGGTTTAGTCATCAGGTTTATTAGGAGACAGTTTTTCAGATTGATTTGTTCAGAAGGAATAAAATACTTCAGATTTGTGGCATAAGCTTTTAGTACTCTGCCTTCATTAGTTCTGGGAATGCCAGACCATGGCTGTCTAGTTATCAAAACACCTATCTGCACTGGAAAGAGTTTTCGTCTGTAGTTTTGATGGAAAACTGCTTCTCTTCCTCTCAGTAATGTTGTATTTGCGAGGGAGCCGTGCTGACCTCCACCCCAGCACACACAGATGGTGGGCTGGCGATAAGAGCCTGAAATCCGATGCTGACCCTGTGGAGGACTGATGGGCAGGGCTGGACACCAGTGTCAGCATCACCTGTCTGAGAAGAGCCCCCAGAGATGCTGAAGGGCTTTAAGACAAGAAATGATCCTTATCTTGGAGCATCTACTCTGTTTGAGGCCCTGGACTTGGGGTTCCTTAGTAACTGGAGAAGTCAGAAAACCCGGGGGGATCAGTGGCGTGACTCCATGACTAAAGTGCTTTCACAAAACTGGGATAGAAGTAAGTGTTGTTTAAAACGTGGCTGAGATCCCAGGGATTCTCAGCTCTTCTTTGTCCTCATGGCTTCAAGGTTCATTTGTCCTCAGCCAGGAAGAAACTAGAGCTGTGAAAGAGGGCCAAGGCCTCCAAGGTATGGCTGAGCCTGCCCTCAGGTTCTGGCCAGGCTATTTTCACATCTGACCATTTTCAGTATGTATAGCCACTGTTATGATGACACAAGCCAAAAGTGAACTAGCCCAGAGGTTTTGATAAAGTACAGAGGGGTGGAACTTGCAGTTCTTATATCATTAGTCAAAACTTCTTTTTTTTCCCAAAAAATTTGTTTGAATTATGTTGGTAGCATTTTTGTGGTGAGACTAGAGAAATTCCAGTAGGGAAAGTAAATGTGTGTAGGTTTGTGTGTGCGTATGTGTGTTTTAAAAGGTATATTTGTTTATCTCTACAAGAACTAGAGTACAGGCCAGAGGTATGTAGGGTAACAGGATTCACCAGAATCACAGTGGGGAGCAGAAGCAGATCTACTGAAATACACTGCTAAGGGGGGCAGTGGTTGGGTCAGAGAGGTCTGCCACACCAGTGGGTCAACTCCCTGGCTGAACTCAAGTTGCAGATCGCTTGGCTGCGGATCGCTTCATAGTGCCACCAGGGAGGGCCCTTGATGTGTGTGTTATACTGTCTCTTTGAAGGAGGAAAAAGAAAGTTACATTTAATGGACAGGGTCAGACAGGGTCAGGCAATGTTCTAGGCTTATTCATGTATATTACTTAATTTGACCCACATGCCAATTCTGTGAAATAGGTATACATTATATTCACTTTGTAGATGAGAAAAAACGAGGTTCAGAGATGCTTAAGTATCTTTCCCAAGGTTACACAGTGAAGCAGGATCTGAACCTCATCTTTGTGCTACCAGAGTCCACACAGCCACTCTATTAACCTGGAAAGCACACAGGAGAGGATATGGCTGTGCTTAAGTGTGTGGTTTCCAGAGGCCAGCTGCCTCTGAGGGTACTCACTGTAGCTGGCCCATCTTAGCTGAGTGACCTTAGTTAACTTACCCTCTCTACCTCAGTGTCGTCATCTGTAAAGTGAAATAATACCCGCCCCATAAAATTGTGAGATGGAATTAATGTATTTTAAAAACATAGCACACAAACAAAAAGGATCAATAAGTGTTAGTCACCGGATGAAGGTATTTCCAATAACTTCTCTGGGGTGAGTGTGAGTTAAGAGGGTTGGATTTTATATTATTGCCTGATCTGAAGAAAAAATAACCCAGCAGTGTTCACCACCAAGATTTGAAGAACATAATGTACATCTTGTTTTAGGTAGACATTTAAATCTGCCATGTCCCTCTTGTACTGTACAACCTACTCTTTGTAACACCATCCAGATTTTCCACAGTGGAGACATCCACACAACCGTGAACATGGTTGTGATTGAGGCCCTCTAGGGCTTAACGGAAAAGAAAGCTGGTTCTTGGTCCCAGGTCCACCTGGACTTGCCCTCCAGGTCTGGCCCTAATGCTCTGAAGAGAAGGTGCACTTAGCTGTTGGAACTCAGGGTCAGACTCTAGGTTAATTATTAATAGCAGAACCTCTCAGTGGTGATTTATAGATCAGAGGGCAGTAAAATCCACAAGCTTTCAAATGAGTGTAAGAATGTAATACGTGCTGCCTAAAAGTGCAGGTCCCCAGATGCTGACTGTGTAAAACCCGCTCAGTAGGTCTGGGTGTGGGCCCAGGCGTCTGTGGTCACAGCTGCGTGAGAAGGCATTGTGTTGCTTAGACCTGGTGAAGATGAAGAGGTGACTAGATCTAGGCAACTAAGTAAGAAGTAGAAAGTGTGCTTTTTTAAATTTGTCAAGTGATTCTGTCTACCTCTGTTTATAGCTTAATGATATTTGCAGTATCCAAACTCCTTTCTTGTCAAATATCCTTGAATATAAACATCCTTTTATCACGTGTGGAGCCACGCCCCATCAGTCTCCATCTCTTATTGTGGTTTCCTGTGCTATGTCTGCCTATTCATTCCTGTGCTCCCGTGACTTTTATCTCCCTAGTTCGGGCCTTAAGATCTCATACCGAGGTGTACCGGCTAGCTTTTGCTGGGTACACCACTACCTCAGAATGAAGAGGCTTAAAACAACCACCATTTCTTTAGTCCCATCCTTTTCCGAGTCGATATTTTGGGCCTGGGCTCAGAAGAACAGTTTTCTCCGTCTCTCCTGAGCTTAGCCACGCATCTGTGCTCAGTCGGTGGTCCCTTGTCATCAGTCAGACCAGCCTGTGCTCATCACGACCAGGCAGAACAACAAAGGACAAACCCATTGTACAAGTGCTTCTCCAGCTGTTACTCACACTCCCTTGCTAACATTGCTGAGCTACAGCGAGTCACAGAACTTTCAGATTTGGTGGAGGAATAAACTACTGCAAACAGATGATATTGCAAGGGCATGAAGGGTCAGAGAAAACTTCCTGCATATTTTCAGTCTCCCAATTGATGACATCACCTGTCTTGGGCGATTCTCTGAACCATTGGCTTCTCTGCTCCAACCCATCTTGCTTCCTGTTACCATTGCCTTTTTTTAAACCTTGCTTTCCTATTATACCCCTGTTTGCAGAGCCCCTGATAACTTCTCTTCTCTACCTTACCAGCTATAAGTGCGCCTGTCTAGCTTTCAAAGGTGTTCTTAAGCCAGCCTGCCCTGAAAGAGAAACAGGTAACTTGGGGAAAGGACCAGCTGCTGTCAAGGGCAGTGTGGGTGTTAGTTCCGACCTCATCGCTGAGCAGAGCTTAACCAACCCCAGCTTCTGTTTCTCTCTCTACAAAAGGTGGGCATTTGAATGAAACTTAAATTTTCAGATTTAAAATTTAGGCTGAGTGTACCCAGGCAAATGTATTTCCTATGCTGCTTCTCCCACTGTTATGTTGCTCTTCAGACGTCCATTCCTTCTGTTTCCTGCAGATCATCTCAACGTTAGCTGCCCTTTGTTGTTTTTCACTGCTTGTTTTAAATTCTGCCCGGTCCTTGTCTTTTCTAATGTCTGCCATCCGATTTGCCCCTGAACTCTGTTACCTCTTGTATAATTCAGTCTTTCAAATATTAGTCTTGTTATCTAGATTATAAACTCACTGAAGGAAGAGACTATTTTTACATCAACTAAGCACAAAGAGGTATGGACTAAATATTTGTAGATTCATTTACATTTCACACCACAGAAAATTAGAACTGGTCGAGAACTTTTTAGTAGGAAGATAAGACTGCCTGGACAGAGGTGGTGGTGGTGACTGGGTAATGGGTATTTGTGTCGGGTGCACTGAAGGTAGCATGTACCTATGAGACTAGAAGCTTGAGAAGTTATCTAGAAAGCTGCTGGGCTCTCCTCCCCTCCAGCCATCGGTGACAATATACCCCTCTGCTCATTTCTGCAGTTTTTGTCCTTTTCTTCTGTAAGCTGTCACCATGACCCTGACGAAAGGTTCTTTCACCTACTCCAGTGGAGAGGAATATCGTGGGGAGTGGAAGGAAGGTAAGAGTACCCCTAGGGGCAGCCCACGATCCACATTTCATTTGGCCAGAGGACAGATATGTCAGGATATGTAAGCCAACTGCATGAGTCTTCATTTCTAACTCCAGTGTTAGTCTGAATAATGCCTTCCCTTTATTTGGTTTGAGAATTACACATAAAGCAATTAGAAATGCTACTGTTAACCCAACCTCCAGAAATAAGTTAAACTTTAAAATTTTAAGTATTTTAACAGCTTTTTATCCTTTAGTGGTATTACTGGGGAATTGTTTTTTAAGTGTTAATACACCTGGCAGAATAAAATGAATTGTTGTAAGTGCCCATAAATTAGAAGGTACAGAATTCATTGCCATGACTTCATTCCAATGAAGATTTAGAAGTTCAGGAAGATCTGGAAATTAAGACAGATGCTCAGGAGCAAATCACATTCCTGGCCTCACAATTCCTGTGATATATATCACTACACTTGGAAGTATCCGTTCACAAAAGTAGTAAAATTCTTCCAACCATGAGACTACAGGAAGCAGTATAATGAATTTCAGTTTGGAAACACAGTCTGGTCACCTGACAAACAAGGAACTACCCCAGAGGGACTTGTGCCAGTCAACTGCAACTCATCCCATTGCTAGAGTCGTTGAGCTTGAGAGGAGACGTTATGCTGATGGGATGTGACCTTCATACATGCCAGGTCTTCTCTCCTGCCTCCCAAACACCTGCCGTCCCCTTGAATGTGGTCCTGTGAGGACAGACTTCCTGAGGCTGCTGGGCATCTACCGAAGGGCTCCCTCACACTAAGAGCATACAGACAGCATCTTGCTGCTTAGCATCTTATTGCTCCCCCAGCATCTTGCTCTGTTTCCTGGTAGTTTAGTGGGTAAGCACAGTCCTATCAATGTAACAGCTCAAAACAATGCCGCCAGTCAGGCTACTCGGTTTTCCCAGTAGCTTGAGCTAAAGTGTGCACCTCTATTTTCTCAGCGGCAACTAGGTAAGTCTTGAAGGACCTAGGTAAGGATCTTGAATGAGGCTGCCTGCTGTGTTCGCCTTCTAGCTGTAGCTCTTAATTGCTCTGTGATCATGAGTACATTGGTTTCCACAGTTGTTAAATGGGAATAATAGGGGTACTGTGTCTGCCTCATAAGGTTGTCATGAAGATTAAAAAAGATGATAAATACAAAGGGTATAGGAGAATGCCTGGCACATAGTAAAGGTGCAATAAATGTTAGCTAGTTTACTTTTTTGTGCCTTTTTATCCGAGAGAGACTAAATATACGGTGGTTGTGATCTTAAGATGGGAATGTCTAGGGGCCAGGTTTTCTGGCACCTAACTCTGGATAACATACTGTTCTCTTTTCTCCTTTGAGGGTGGGGTGATGGAAGGTAAGGGGTGTTAGTGAGAGGATCCCCATATCTGCCCCATCCCAACTTGACACCTGTCCTTCTCTTTGCTCAGGTCGCAGACATGGTTTTGGTCAACTGATGTTTGCAGATGGTGGCACCTACCTGGGTCATTTTGAAAATGGATTGTTTAATGGCTTTGGGGTACTGACCTTCTCAGATGGCTCAAGGTGGGTATTAGATCACTTTTCCCCAGCCTACACTAGGGAGGTTCTGATCTAAAAATGACAGTAATGTCATTTATCTGGTCAAATCTGAGCTTGTCCGAGGCCCTCTGAAAGCAGCAATGAGTAAACATTTCTTTTATTGGTTATTAAAATCACTTTTTAGTGGTTAAATAGATTCAAAATTTGAAATGAAGGAGGCAAATGGTCTTCTACCCCACTGCCATTCTTTTTTTAATAATACTTTTTTTTTTGCATAGAAGAACTGAGGTGTAAGCCAGAGATACAGTGGGTCACCGGACACAGAGAGGGGAGCAGAACAGGCAGATTCACTGCTGAGGGGGCCAGTGAGCAAGACAGAAGAGGTCTGCTGTGCTATATGTGGGTCACCTCCCTGGCCGGAGATAAAACTCTGGCCCTCATGGTGATACCGCTCAGACTTAACCCCTAAGCCCCCAGGGAGACTCCCACTTGCATTCTCACCAGATGTCACCTCCTTGAGACTGGGGTCTCCTGAGGGAAGCCGGCACCATGAATCTACGTCCAACCTTGACACTGACAACACACATCAGTAGTTGCTTGACTGAGTTAATCTGGACCGTTTCCCACCCGGCTACCGGCTAACAGCTTGTGTTTCTGCAGGTATGAGGGGGAGTTTGCCCAGGGCAAGTTTAATGGCGTCGGAGTCTTTGTTCGCCACGACAACATGACCTTTGAGGGAGAATTTAAAAATGGCAGAGTAGATGGTTTTGGTAAGTCTCAGCCCAGCGGACCCGGGGCTGAGGTGGGCATAACCTGAATGGGAGTGCACGTTTCCGGGTTCATCCTGTAGTGAGGGCCGGGAAAGCCAGCACCGTGGACTTACCGGTGGAGCTGGGCGTTTCCCGCCTTCTCTGCTCTGGTGGGTTACGAGTGCCTTGCAGTCCCCACGCACGTTCTCTCTGCCCTCCCCACAGGCCTGCTGACTTTCCCCGACGGTTCTCATGGGATACCCCGCAACGAAGGTCTCTTCGAGAATAACAAGCTGCTGCGGCGGGAGAAGTGCCCCGCGGTGGTTCAGCGGGCCCAGAGTGCCTCCAAGTCGGCCAGAAACCTGGCGGCCTGACACTGCTGACGGGCGTTTGCGGGAGGTGAACCAATGAACCCCCTGTGAGAGGAAACGAGGGTGCCCCAGAGCAGAAGCCTTACGAAGGGCCAGTGGCGACCGTTCAGGGATTTGGTCCCAGAAGTTCCGAGGACTCTGGCCGTGAGGCCCGGCCGCAGAGCTGCCTGTTCTGTCTTTTCCTTTTGTGCTTGTCAGACGCGCAGTTCCTAACCGGTGGGCTACCCAGTGCAGGCCTGCGTTGCCTTCTTCGTCATTTCCTGCTTCCACGCAGAATTTCTTATTTCTGCCTACATTTGGGACAACTTAGGGCCCCCATTTAGGGCCAGTGCTTTGTGCTACCATGGAGAAATAGAGGGATCAAGGGTGGCTGAGGCAACACTGTACACCTGTGGAAATCCACCAGGGTGTTTCTCCACCTAGGCCCACATTTACTGTGGATTCCAGGCCCTCTGCTTTGTCTGCCAGACTGGTCATCGTCTCTACATACTACCCTGGTGAAGGAGTCAGTAAGAGTGTGTTTCCCGCTCTTCACTTCGCAGGCTGTCTTCCCTACCTGAATTACAGAGATAATCCCCACTTGTGCCTCTCTCCTTCCTTAGACACATTCCTTAGACACAGGACAGATCCCTTTAAGGAATAGTCAAGAAAAAAAAGTGATGTAAACAGTCACCTTGTAAGTCGTAGTCATTACTCCAGGGCAAAGGGCAGATAGAACTGAACCACGTCACACCCCATCATAAAGGGAACTGAATCCTTAGGGATGGCTAGGGCTAACACAGTTCCTTCCAGCCCCATCTTGACCCCTTGGGCTTTAGGTCAACCTGGCCTTTAGTAAACTGAAAGAGCACTGTCCATTGGGTCATTGTAACTCTTTACCTTGGCTGTCAGGCCTGGGGATCAGAACTTGACTATTGGGATCCCTATAGAGTTTTCCCACAGACCTCCAGCAACCTATGGCCCAGTTGCACCCTGCCTCACACACCTCCAGCCCCTTACCCTCACAGTGAATATCTCAATAGCAGATGGTCGTGGAAATTCTAGCCGTGTGCCTCTATTTAGTCTCTGAATTGTACTGTAGAAACAGGTGTTGATGAGGAATAAACAAATCACCAGAACTGCTTCTATTTTCCGTGGCTTTCTTGCTCTGCAGCCTGATGAATTATCAACCCATTTGCTGTTTCTAGGAGTTAATCACATTTTGGAACTGATACTGCATACTTTACTGCATGATAACTAATTCTCTAAACCTCTGACGTGTAGGGGCTTTTTTTAATTAGATAAGCTCAGGTGGCCCAAACTAGTAAGTGCCAAGCTGGTTTCATCTCCATTTTTCTGATTCTAAAGCACTTCCTGCTGTTGTCCTGGGACGAATTAATGCACCAGCTGGTTTCTTTCAGGCAAGTCACCTCCTGCCTGGGTTCCCCCTTCTCTGCAGCAAAGATAGTAACACTCTTCCAGCTCAACTAGCAGGAGATGTTTGCCTGCCACCCTTAAATGCATGACCTTACACAGGCCCGAGGGGAAGGTTCTTGTTATACCTGCAATATGGGTGAGCTCTGGGCAATAAAGCTTTTCTCCCAGGTGCTGTAAACTTTTTTTTTTTTTTTAAGATTTATTTATTTATGCATAGAGAACTGGAGTACAAGCCAGAGGTGCAGGGGCAGTGAGAGGATTCACCAGAGACAGAGCAGGGAACAGAACAGGCTGACTGATGACACACACTGCTGAGGAGAGCAGCAGGCTGGTCAGGAGAGGTCTGCTCTGGGCCACATCCCTGGCCGGGGACGGAACTAAAGTCGCTGCAGCGAACTTCGAAGTGCTGCGCTTCAACCTGTTGTGCCACCAGGGAGGGCCCAGGTGCTGTAGACTCTAAGGGGCATATCTCATAACTTTAATTCAGGCCTGTTTAAGCCCAAGGACTGAACTTTGCCCCAGGATGCCAGGATGCCTCCCTGTCTTTAGCTTCCCCCACATCTCTAAGTCTGGTCTACTCTGGAAGTGATCTCTGAGAAGAGGCTGGTCTGAACCCTGAGATTCAGTGCCACCCTGAGAGGCCCCGTTCTGCTGAAGAATGATCCCTTTCATATTCTCTTCTAGTTTCTGCCCTAAAAAGGGATCTGCTTATCTTTCTTTTTAACCACTAAAAAAAAAAAAAATTACCTCAGATTTTCTGCCTCTAGTCAGATATCACCAAACATAGGTGACCATTTTGAATAAAACAGACTTTTGATTAACATACAGGTATTTCTAAATATCTGCTCTATCCTACCACTCCCATTTATGACTTCAATAAGCCTTTCCATAGGCCACCACTAATGCCTATGTTTTTGCTCAGTATTGTGAAGGCCTAGACAAACAACCTTGAGAACTTAATTATCTCTAGGAAGGTTCTTGATATCAGGGCAAGAAACCTAAGACCTGCATAGCAGTGGAGTGTCAATCTGTATATAACCACACTAGTTTAACTTATTAAACTTTATTGCAGTAACAAAGTAATTTTTTTTAACAGTAAAAGCAGAGTAACTATAGGTGAGAGAAAGGTTGGTCCTCTATCAGGCCAAGTCCTTCCCTAGTGCTCCAAACCTGGGTTAGCCAGAAGAGTCTCCCAAAATGTAACATTTATCCAGCAGGTGTCATTATTTACCAGTTCTGGCAAGCCACAGGGTGTCTGTGCACTGGGTGGTTAAGATCAAGGGCAGAGACAAGAATATGAGAAGAATGGAAATAGATTTAAGACAGGGCGCTATGGCTGGAATGCAGCTTGGGAGTCTTTCAAAATCCCACAATGCTTTTCTCTTGGGGTTTCCCAGCCTAGCACTTCCTGGGCAGGAGTCAGAAGTCTGGTTCCCTGGAGTAGCCCTGGCTTCTGGGCTAGACTCAAGTTTGTGTTCCCAAGACTAAGTTGTCTTCTCTTGAGTTAAGAGTCACGGACTTTCTGTGCTCAATGGGCCCTGACCTTCTCCCCTCTGGCACAGTAGAGACATGTAAGAAATGACTCCTGCCCTCCTGAAGGTCTCTAGAGACCCAGCGTATAGGACACAAGTGCGTGAAGTCATGGGCTGTGAGAATAGGAAGTGAGTGTGCAAGGCAGCGCCTGGTGAAAGGCCGCTGATGAGGGAAAGCAGCCCCTGGCCCTCCGGGCCATGTTCCTCTTTTGATGGCAGGTGCCAGGCAGCAGCTGAGGTGGGCTCAGGCCAGCCTGTCCCTTCCTTGCCCTCAGAGCCAGCCGTTGCTGGTGAAATCCATGCGCAGCTCCTCCTCCTGCGTGGGGCTCAGCTCCTGCAAGGGGGCCCGGCAAGGGCCTCCGTAATAGCCAAACCAGTCCATGGCTTTCTTCAGCCCGGGGATCCCGAAGCGCCGGGTCACCTGAGAAGTAGGGCCTGTTAGAGGAGACTGGGGGTGTCCCCTACACACACACATCCGGGGCCCATTCATGTGTTACTTTCAGAAAGGTGGGGTTCCCACCTGGCTCCCCTGGGTAAGTATCTCTACCAAATCTGTGACATTGGGTAGATTGGGAATCCAGACTGAAAGGCCAGAAGGAAGCTTGGTAGTAAGGAACAAAATGCCGAAAGTTCAGAAGAAGGAAGGAGCCACCTCTTGATTTTAGGCAGAGTCCACTCCCCAGGGAGACGGACATTCAGTCCTCAGGCTGCTCAGGAGAGCTAGTACATGGGTCTGAGCCCAGCTCCCTGGAAGCTGGCCAGAGCATGCCAGGTCCAGAAAGGCAGGAGGGGAAGGGTCTACAATAGCCTCTGGCAGGAGGGTCTCCCCCTACCCACAGAGCCCCTGACCCCAAATCTAAATGCCCTCATGGGTGAAACAATTCATCATTGCCCAAAGAAGTTTCACTGTGTGGCCTTGAATCACTTAACTTCCCATCTCGTAGCAAATTCTCTTGTCTAAAAAATGAGGGAGTGGATGGTCTCAAAGGTCTTTCATTGAAACAGGGGACCTAACCTAACACTACTGTCCTTTAAACACGAGCTTCACAGAGCAAAGCAGCGAATTTCTTTTCTTGTGGCATAACACCTGGCTATTTCATCTGCGTGGAGTGTTGGTTGCGTTCTTAACCACTTAAAAACTAAAAAAGTAGCCATTACTTAATAGTAAGTTTTATTTGGAGGGATATTTAGATATATGAGCTTCATGAAAAGTAAAGATAATAAAAACTTGTTTGGGATTAAAAGGCTGGACAGTACTAGTAAATGATTGATAACGCTTCACCACTAGGCAGTCGGCTTCAGCAAACAGGGAATCTTTTCCTGGAACAGGTAATAGCTGCCCTCCTCCCAAGCCTGGCTTCAGTCAACATACTATAAGTCTGGACTTTTCACCCAAAACCAGAAAAGGGTGAGAAAGTCTGAAGAGAAGATGGAAACAAGAAATGCTTAGAGGAAAATGTCCTCCCACCATGTGGGCCTGAAGATCACTGATCCACCAGCTCTTTGGACCTAAGAAAGGGTCGCATGCTTTGGGGTAGAGACAGTGGACAGTCCTAAACACAGCTGGGGCAGCGGGCCAAATGAGGAGCAGGCAGAGAAAGCACACTGTGTTCGAACAGGGCAATAGGGTGACATCAAAAGGCCCTTGGGGGGCTGAGCTTAGAGCCGTGGCAGCAGAAAGGTGTTCCAGGCATTCCTGAGTGCATGCCCAGAGCTGGCACAGGCGGGGCACAGAATGAAGGGTGAGGAGGCCTGCAGAGAGCTAAGCCTGGCAACAAGCATCCTCTCTTTCCTAGGGGCTTGTCTGTAAAGTGAGGAGATAATAACTCCTGCCTACCCTAAACCTTCACCTCTAAAGAGACACACACCTGCCTCCTCGCTGTCCTTTCACTAAAGCTCAGTTAAGCTGGGAGGGAGAGCTAAAGCCCACCTACCACTTTACCCAAATGAAACACTGTCTGGCTCTGCCTAGGCCATCGCCTCAGATGTGAAGCCTAAGGGGATGCCAAAAGTCAGTCGTCAAGGAAAGTAGTATTTAGCACACTTATTTTTTTTTAGCACACTATTTTTAAAAGTCCAAAATCAAGGCAGAAAAAAAAAAAACCCGCATGATGAACAAGGTGTCAAAATTCTAAATATAGACAGGATCTCACCGAGTGGTGCCCCAGCCCTGAGAGCCTGAGAAAGGTAAATATAATGCCCCATATACACATTTTATATATTTTGTATTGGTTAATTTTTTATATAAGATTTCAAAATAACTGTTTTGGTTAAGTTTGCTTCCTCTCAAGCCAGGAAGGTAAATTATAACAAACTATGTTTTGGGCATAGGTAAAATATATGCTGTAAATTTTAATAAGCTTACTTTTCAAATTTTTCCCAGCTATTTTAACATTTTATTTTTTTAAAGATTTATTTTATTTGGGCCCTCCCTGGTGGCACAACATGTTAAAGCGCAGCAGTGTGAGGCCAGTCTCAGCTGTTTCTGTACAAGTTCAATCCCCAGTTAGGGGACCTCTCCTGACCCACCCGCTGCTCCCCTCAGCAGTGTATTTTGTCAATCTGTCTGCTCTGCTCCCCACTCTGTCTCAGGTGAATCTTCTCACCATCCCTGCACCTCTAGCCTGTACCCCAGTTCTGTATGCATAAATAAATAAATCTTCTTTTAAAAAAGATTTATTTATTTATGCACACAGGAGCTGCAGTATAGGTCAGAGGTGCAGGGCGAGGTTGGTGAGAGGATTCACCCAGAGACAGTGAGGAGCAGAACAGGCAGATCCACTGAAAAACTGCCAAGGGGAGCAGTAGGTGAGACAGGAGAGTTCTGCTGTGCCAGGTCAGGCCCCAGTGACTGCAGATAGCTTCACAATGCTGAGATTTAACACCCTGTACCACCAGGGAGGGCCCTATTTAAAGTTTTAAAGAGGGGGAAATCACCATTTAGAAAAATACTTAGAAAGTCTTCTTCCAGAAAGATAGACTAAAGGTATTTATCCTATTCCTCCAATTATGAACAACAACAACAACAAACAAACCCCAGAAAACTATCTGCTTATAAAAAAGAAGAAGATTCTTGGGGCCCAAGACCACACAGAGCTGAGCGCACAGCCCAGACCAGCAGCTAAAGAGGCCAGTGAGTGAAAGGCCAACAAAGGTCTGTGCTCTCCAGTCACAGGCCAGAAAAGGAACAGCCTAGCTGGTAGAAAACTCAGAGGTCATAGTCACTCTACACCAGCAGACACCTAGGAAAATCTGTGCCCATTCTACCAGCCCAGCGTGGGGAGCCAGGATGTCTATCACAGCTAGGCAGTAAAGTGCCCCTCCCATCCATGAAGATGGTCTCTAAAGAGACCTAGTGAGGACAGGAGAAGTTTTTCCACAGTCCCCCGACTCCACAGGAGTCCACATGGCAGGTAGAGGCCACATGGCAGGTAAGTGGCATTCCTCCCTCTTCCAGCCAGGGGGTATCAGTGAGACCTAGTGCAAGATCTAGAGTGGAGTTAAATTACCAACATTTCCCCAAAAGAAATCTTTCAGGCCCAGATGTTTCTCCTGGAGAAGACTAAAATATATTTTAAAAATTAATACCTCTCTACAGAGTGGAGAAGGTTTCTTTCAGAAGAGGATGGAAGAGGAGGGAAGATGTCCAAGTGATTTATGAAGCTATTTTTACCCTGATACCAAAATCAGGGGGGAAGTCATAGAGGGGAGGAAAGGAGAAAGTCAGGAGAGAAGGAAGGAAGAAAGGAGGAGAGGGAGTAGTGAAAGATAAGGAGAAAACTGCATGTCAGCAGCCAACATGAATATAGATAGAAATCTTTAACAGGATATTAGTAAAGGGAGCTCAGCAGTATATAAAAAGATTTATACACCATAACTAAATGGAATTCATTACAGGGATGTAAGTCTGGTTCAACATTGCAAAATTAATCCATGTAATTCACCATATTAACAGAAAAAAAAACACTGTCATATCAGTGCCAAGAAAGAATTTGACAAAATGCAACACCCACTCATGGTTTTAAAATCACTGTGAAAAGTAGAGCAGAGGGGAGCTTCCTTAACATGATAAAGAGTATCTACAGAAACCTCCAGTTAACTTTACACTTGATGGCAAAAGGCTAAATGCTTTCCCTGAAAATCAGGAAAAATCCAGCCCCGCCTCCAGCTCCAGCGAGGCCATGGGGCCCCCACCCCCACTCGCACCCCCACCCTCACCCCGGCCCTCTCTGAGGCCACTGGTCAGGGGCTCACCGCAGTGTTTGGCTCAATGAGGCGGTGCTGCAGCTGCTGGGCATCTTCCCATTGCCCTGTGAGGCAGAGTCGCTCCAGCTGGCACACCTGAGCCCCCAGGACATTGGCCAGGGCACACACGCCCCCCACAGCTCCTGCCCCAGAACAAGAAGCAGAACATCAACCAGGGCCTCTTCTCACAAAGAACTGCAAACCCTGGCCCCAAGCACGCCTCTGTTTTGGGAGGTGGCTGTGGATTTCCAGGCGACTGGTTTGCTGTGTCAAAGCCATGCTCTGGGTCTCCGCGGGGTACTGCTTCCCAGAGCGGAAAGCTGCAGGCACATTTGAAGCAGACTCTTGCAGGCCAGAGGGCAGGGGGCAGGACTGAAGGCAACTCAGAGACACTTCTTTCCTTTCACCCCCCACCCCCGCCCTCCTGAAGACAGACCCGCCTGCCAGTTCCACGCCAGAGTTCCTGGGTAGCCCCCTGCCTCCTGAGTCCTGGAAGGGGGAGGGGTGGTGAGGGAGACTTTGCTCTTCTCAAATCTTAATCTCAGTGAACTGGGCCTGGGATAACGGCAGGGGTGGGCTGCTGGAGTGGGAAGAGCTCTGGACAGTGGGGAGACCGGGTGTCCCCCCGCCCCCACTGGCTGCATGAACTTGCACAAGTCCTACTCTCTGTTCTCTTTGTCCTCATTTGGGCAGTGACAGTGGCCTGACTGTGATCCCAGAAGTCCCTGCCACTTCTGCCAGCCTGTGAGTGTGATTCTAAGGCTAATAAGGAAGTGACCTTTAGCACAGTGGCCTCAAGACGGGAAAGAGAGCAGGCAATTTGGGATGAGCTAATATAGCTGTCTTTGCTGATACCCACTACATGCCGGAACCATGCAGGCATGAGGCCAGCACCAATCCGCTCACAAGCTCCTAGTTTGACAGAGTGGAGACTCAGGTCCACAGAGGCTAAATACCTTGTCAGTGACTAAACAGCAGAGCTGATGCCAACTCATGTCCCTACCCCCAGATTCTATGCTCCGCCCACCTACCCCACTCTCAGGTCTCAGAGTAAATGGGTCCTTTCTTCTTCTCTGTACCTTAAAGACTGTGATATGGAAGAAGGGAGCTGTGCAAAGGCCTTAGACAGCGAGGCAGTGTCTGCAGAGAGCAGAGAGAACAAGCATCCTGGCAACTCTGGGAAGAAGCTCAGATCTGCACTGGCTTGGGCTTCAACTGAAGGAGGCGCTGCTCCCTCCACTCCCCACAAGGGCTCAAATCCAATTTGCACCCAAGGACTCTGAACCCAAATAAGAGCAGACAAGAGCATTTGGTCTAGTGGGGACATTCCTGGGATCTGGACTGGAACAGAATCTGATCACGCAGCTGAAGACCCCTGGCCCAACCTGCAGGTCTCACCACTCACCCTGGCCTGGGACCAGAGAGAGGAAAATGGACTCTGGAACTTTAGGGGAGGTGCCCCAAGGCCTTTGCTCTCAGAGAATGATTTACAAAATGAGATCAGAGGAGCTAAATTTGTCACCTAAGCAAGGAGCTCAGGATTTAAAGCAAATTGGCATCCCTACCACAGCCAGCGATTGTATACAGCCACCCTCTTCCACCCAACAAGGTCATTCACAAGCACTCGGTCCTCAGACAAGCAAGCGGTGTGCCCTGCTTCCCTTGCAGACAGCCACCTCTGCAGACCCAGCCCAGGCCTCAGAGCCTCTCCCAGCACACCCAGCGGCTGGACATATCTTGGTCCCTCGTGACAGCGTGACAGCCCGGGGGGCCTACCCACGGCATAGCCAGCCAGCAGGAAGCCGGCCGATCCAGCCAACACCTGGAAATCCTGCCTCCTGGTCTTGTGAACAATCAGCCCGATCCTGGTCACCTGCAACAGCAAACTGGGTGTGAGAGCTGGGCCCAGAGCCTCTGCCAGCCTGGGTGGGGGGTGGGCAAGCCTGGGAGGAGAGTACAGGTCCCAGAGAGATGCCCCAAAGCCCTGGAGTCCACAGGACAGACAGAACCCACACAGTGGCCCGGAACTGACTGACGCGATTCCGGAGCAGCCCTGAAATGGGCGGCAAAAGAGAAGAGGAAGAAGGAGCCCCAGCTGGGGAGTGGGCCACTCACATCACCACCGCTGTCCTTGATGCCCACGATGTTTGGGTGCTGGGAGAGTGTGACCACTGCGTCCACAGGCAGGTCCAGCCCCGTGTTGCCCGGAACACTGTACAGCACCACGGGGATTGGAGAGAGGTCAGCCACCTGAGGGGCACAGAGAGAGGCGAGAGGCAGCTGTGCCAGACCTGGGGGCCCCACCACACCCCAGGAGCCTGCCATGCCAGGTCCAGGTCTGGGTTACTCCTGCAAGGGAGGCAAAGTGCCCAGCACTGGGACTGTAACCGTGATAATGGGAGATTCTTAGTGAGCACTTTCTACCGTCAGGTAAGCTGAGCCTCCTGACAACCCCACGAGGAAGATACCATCATGTCTTCCAGTTGGGAGGAGAGGAAACTTTGGAACAGAGTGGTTAAGCAGTCACCTGATATCACACAGCTGCTGCCTCCCTCCCAGGCCCCATAGCTGCCATCCAGGGGAGGGGTCACCACTCTACTCCCAGCAGCTCTCCTCTCTCCCCAGGCAGAGTGTCCACCTCATCCACCCTCCCTGTAACACCAGGTGTCAAAGCTACACTCCCGCACACCCACCTTGGTGTAGTGGTGAATGAGGGCAGCACTAGTCATGCGGCCACGATAGTAGCAAGGGGTCACCACCAAGGCAGCATGAGCACCAACCTGGGCCATGCTCAAGGTCATCTCCACTGTGGCTTGAGTGGCTGCAGGGAAAGAGTGTGTCTTCCCTACCAGCCATGGAGGGTGAGGAGAGGGAAAAGGGCTGGAAGAAGGGCTGGCCTAGAACCCTGGAGCAAACGGGGTATGTAGATAAGACAATGAAGTATCTGAGCCCAGTCCCAAGGTCAAGGAGCCACTGCCCACCCCTCCAGCCTGCCCAGGGCCCAGGGCATTATGGCCTCACACTCGCAGCCAGAGCCAGCTAGCAGAAGCTTGTCCTTGGGCATGGCCTGTCGCACACGGCTCACCACCTCCAGGCGCTCACTGCTGGTCAGGAAGGGGAACTCCCCGTTGGAGCCCTGGACCACAAAGCCTGCAAGAGAGGCCCCATCACAACCAGCCAACCCCTTCCCGTCCTCTGTGGACAACCAAGACATTGGTGCTTACTTACTGGTGCCCTCACCACCCCACCTCCACCATAATTTTTTCAACCATTCCCTTATCTTTGTTCTGCTGCAGGGAGAACGTATTAATCCCACTGCAACTATGCCCTCCGCACCATTTTTCTTTGTTTTAATGACAGGCCCTAGTCCTATGAAAAATAAGAGCAAATGTAGTTCACATCCATGCCAAGTGCCCATTGCCCCCTCTGCTGACCACTTTCCTCTTCCTCTTCCTGTTCTGACTTAGCAGTTGATTGTCCCCTTTTCTATCTTTATATATTTGGCATACATATGAACCCCAAGACAAAATACAGTATAGCATTTGTCACTTTAAAAGTAGAGAAATGAAACCCCACCTTTATAGCACTCTGCAGTTTGCCATTTTTGCTCAACATTATGCTTTGCCCACTGCAGTAGACATAGCTCTGATCCATGATTCTTAACGACTGTATAATGTTCTATTGTAAGGTTAGACCACAATTTATTTTCCATTCTCCCTTTGAGGACAGTTCTTTATTTTTTGAAGATTGATTTATTCATGCACACAGGACTAGGGGACAGGCCAAAGGTGCAGGGGCAGTGAGAGGATTCAGCTGAGACAGAGGGAGCAGAACAGGCAGGCTGACAAAGTACAGTGCTGAGGGGAGCAGCGGGCGAGACAGGAGAGGTCTGCCACGCCACGTGGGTCACCTCCAGGGCAGGGATCAAACTCACACTGAAGGGACCAAGGCCAGCTTCGCAGTGCTGTGCTTTAACCCCTTGTGCCACCAGGGAGGGTCCCTCTGAGGACATTTTGATGGTTTAATTATTACAAACAATGCTGAAACACACTGCCTAAGAGTTTTCTAGACTTTGGCTAGTTAGGTGAGTAGTTGCCAAGTCACATGTACACGCCGCTTTGTGTGCTAACTTCTAATTATCCAGGTTGGACTGCTAGAACCCACAGAAGAAGAGTCTGTGAGTGTCCTCCATGCCAACATGGATATCGTCAGAAGTAATTTTTGCCAGTTTTCTGGGTGAAAAGTGACACCTCGTTTTATTTTCCATTTTTCTGTTTGATCAGTCACTTAAGACATTTGTAACATTACCATCAAAACTCTCAACCCTTCAACACACACGCAGGACCAGCAGAACTGATGCTTCTCCACTGAACCTGAAGGGGTTGTTCGTAAAATTATTTTTCTCTCGGCTTCCTCTGCCAAGAAGGCTGGACAAGCGCTAGACTCCAGTCCCCGCTGGCTTCTCAGCAAGGCTTCTTTCCTTTCTTTCTCTTCTCTACCCCATTCCATTCAAAATTTTTTTTTTCTTAAATAGTTCACAACAGCATGCCATACAAGGTTTTGCAGAAATCTTGTTTAGGAGAAAGGAAAGAAAGCAGGGACAGTATTAGCATACAAAACCCTGCCACTCACTTGTGAGTGAAGGGCCATAACTTTGATTTGGAGCTTCCTGACATTCAAAGCTAAAAGGAAAATGTGCTCAACTGACAGTTATGCAGGATAAAAGCAAAGCAGCTGCTCTGGACAAACGCAGAGTTTCCTGGCACTGGGACCAAAGGGGACCGTTCCCGTGAGTCATTCTTACGGGGACAGAGTGTGATGTGGAGTCAACTTGATACCTCAGACCATTTTCATGCTCTTCACTACACTCTTCTGTTCCATTGGATGGATTCCAGAAAATCTAGATGCTGAGCAGTCCCTTCCCCCACCCTCGTTTTGGGGGTTTTCTTGTTTGTTTTGTTTTGTTTTGTTTTTCCCCTTGGCAATTTTGCAGGGAAAATCTTGAGGCAAATAGCTTTTGGCTTCTGCAGGAATGCCTCCTCAGGACAGAGTCCTGTCAGGCTCAGAGCTGAGGGTCATCCCCAGGCACAGAGATACCAGCCCCCAATCAGCGCCCTCTGAGAGATCAAGGATTCAACAATCAAGCTGTTGCTACTTCTGCAATTCAAATACCAAAGGCATCTTCCCCCCTACCCCACCCCACCCCCATCCTGGCAGGGTTCTTGCTCTGGACACTTCTTTTCTGTTTTTTTTTCCAAAATTTTAAAAATAATATAATATTTTATTTTTACATCATTTTGTGCCTTTTTCCATCTCAGTTGTAATCCCTGTGGGCTTCCCATCACCAAATCACCCGTGTGCCCTGACTTTTTTCTCTTTTTAAGATTGATTTTATTTATTTATGCATATAAGAACTGGGGTGTAGGCCAGAGGTACAGGGGGTGACAGGCTTCACCAGAGAAAGAATGTGGAGCAGAATAGGCTGAGGGGAGCAGAGGGGAGACAGGAGAGGTCTGCTGTGCCATATGCAGGTCAGCTCCCTGGCCGGGAATTGAATTCACGCTGCAGTGGCTGACAATAGCTTGACAGCACTGAGACGTCAACCCTGTGCCATCAGGCAAGCCCACTCTGGCCACTTCTTTAGCTGTGGCCACTCGCTCCCAAGTCACCCTTCGTTCTGTGGTCAGTTCCGGAAACTCCAGGACCCAAGGGTAGACCTGGCCTAAACAACAGGACAGCTGGGTCTTGTCTTCTGGGAGGTGAAGTTGCGCTCTAGACTTGGGAGCGAGTGGCCACAGCTAAAGAAGTGGCCAGAGTGGGCTTGCCTGATGGCACAAGGGTTGACGTCTCAGTGCTGTCAAGCTATTGTCAGCCACTGCAGCGTGAGTTCGATTCCCGGCCAGGGAGCTGACCTCTAGGTGAAGTTGCGCACAGCTCTCCCCCTGGGTCTCTTTGCAGAGGGCATCGACCAGGGCCTGCCTACCAAGAAGCAGGAGAAACGAGCTGGGGAATTTCTCACTGGTCCCCTCCGGCTGTTGAGCAAGCCCCATTCAGGCTCATGTCTCCCAATTTTGATTTCCTGTTCTATCAGATGACAAATAATTTCAACCCTACTTTATAGGACTGTTTCAAAGTCTCAAACAAGAACTTGAACAAGAAAGTGCTTTGAAGTCTGTGAGCTAACGCCACAAAGAGCCTCCACCTCCTTCTCTGAGCAACTCGGCCAACTTCAGCTCCTCAATTGAAAAATGGGGAGATCAGTAGCCTCCTTAAAGAGCTTTGTGAGATCTAAGCAAGATAGTATGAGCTGTTGTGAGATCTAAACAAGACAGTATTTGGTAAAGTGCTCAGACTCAAACCTGGCCCCCATCAGTAATACTGTGGACAGGCTCAGGACAAAGGGCACCAGCCTCACTTCAGCTAGGAGCTGCTGTCCTCTGGGGGGAGGGGAGTCAGGGTTGGTGGGGAGAAGGGAGGATGAGGACTGACATGGGAGTAGAGGCTGCACTGGGGGGCACTCTTGGCCACTCCAGCCTTAAGATGAGAAACTCATTTGGAAAGCTCCCCTCCCTGCCCCCATCACTACCGGGCTGGCTGGGAAGTCAGTGAGCTAGAAAGGGCCTGGATGTGACAGGGGCGGCACCAGCAGCATAATATGGCAGAAAGGAATCAGAGTCTCTTCCAGAGTCCCTCTCACTATCATGCTTCTTGGCCCAGCTCGGTGGCCACCTCCTCTGAGAAGTCTTCCAGGGATCCCTGCACGAGATGTCTGTCATTGGAACTTCCTTCCTGTCCTTTGCCCTTCTCTGTTGCCTACTCAAAAAGGTACAAAGTTCTTGAGAACCCTTCAGTCTGCCCACCCCTGCCTATGGGGTTAGACAAAATCTCTCAAACTGCTCTCCCCTGTAAAACAGGAAATGGGATTGTCTCCGGGATTGTCTCCTGAGTGCTACCCAGTCCTGAGCTTCAGAGCCACATTTCAGGCTTTTCCTCCTACTCTTTCCCTGGCTTTTAAGTGTTCTGCCCCAACACCCCAGCCCCCCAGACACTCTGCCAGCCTCCGGCCCCCACCTTTGTGCAGGCTGCTCCTTCTGCCTGACCTCTCCCCAGCTGCACCCCCAGAAAGCTGCCAAGGGCCACAGCCTTGCCCAGTCCCTTCCCCTGGGCCCCAGAACATTTTGTTCCTGTATAGACTAAGATCACCAGGGTCAGGGATTGTGTCCCCTCCTTTTGGGGACACCCTCAAAGGGGACATAGTACAATGTATCTCCATGATACCTCATGCACTGCCTGCTGAGATACCTGTGGCCAACTTGTAAAAAAGAAAAATTGTCCTAACCCTGGTCTGGGGCAGAAGTTTTCACCATATATATTCCATAACTTCCCTCTACGAAAAAGTGAACATTCCTGACAAAGCTCTTAGGCAACTTCCTGATGAGCTTTAAGGGGATTAATCCTTGGCCTGAGAAAGCAGCCACCCTTTCCACCCCAACACCCTTCACCCATCCCAGCCCACCACTCCCACTACCAGCCCAGAGATAACTCTCAGGCAAGGGTCTAGGGCTGTTAACTATTTTTCTTTGTACCCAGTTTAGTAAGATTTCATCATATGCTCATGAAAATCTCCAAGTAAACAAACCTGAGTTAACAGTTAAGAGCTGTTTTCCACATAACGTGACTACAATGAAACTTTGACATGCACGCATAACTCAATAATCTGAAAACGGTTTCTATACTTTTAATTTTGAACTACTTTTAAACTTATTTTCAGAAGTCACATTTTCAGTAGAGTACAGGAGATTTCCACGCAACCCTCACCCAGCCCCCTGTGAGTATACCTGGAGAGTACACTTATCAGGACCAGAGAATTAGTATTGGTACAATACTCGCTACTTTATCTAAAGTTAGCCAGTTGGAAGCTTTCTAAAGAGTCCAAAGTGATAAATAGCTAAACTGAAATTTCTTGTCACAAGCTCTTTTTAATGGACTTATCTTCTTGATGTAACATGCATTTTAACCATCACTTTCAGAAACTTACCTTACTCTTGCCTTTTGTTTAATGTGCAAGTCACCAACATTTGTCATTGACCCATTTTTTTTCTAATTAAGATTATAAAGAATTTTGGTGGCACAAGGGGTTAAAGCATGACACTGTGAAGCTCTCCACAGCCACTGCAGCATGAGTTCGATCCCCAGCCAGGAAGGTGACCCACGTGGTGGCACAGCAGACCTCTCCTGACCTGCCCACTGCTCCTCTCAGCAGTGTACCTTGTTGATCTGCCTGTTCTACCCCCCACTCTGTCTCTGTTGAAGCCTCTCAACCCCTGTACTTTTGGCCTGTACCCCAGTTCTTGTATGCATAAATAAATCTTTAAAATTAAAGATTATAAATAATTTTAAATATACAAAGGTAGCAGTATTGACATAATTATTTTTATAATGTCAGAAATAGTCAAATACTCTCAACTATGCACCATAAAAACAAATGACAACGTATTGGGAATTTATAGATTCACCAATCCTTTGCAGTGATTCTGGGCACCTTCTCCCTAGAATTTGAGGCCCTCATGTTGGAAACCAATGATAAATAATAGATACAAGTATAAGAGATTTCTATATCAAGGAGTCACTTAGAATTAGTGCGGTGTAGCTGACCCAGCTCAAGTTTCACTGAAGGAGGCAGCCACATTTTAACTGCCTGGCTGGCCTTCACCCCAGCCCCAGAAAGTTTCTCAGAACCCAGGGAATGGCGACAGGAAGAGTCCCAGCTTTGCAGGAAGCCACAGAAAGTATCAGGACATTGGCTAGGAGACAGATAAGTGAGAGAGAAGTAGATCTATGGGGAACAAGGGAGTGTTGGACTGAGGGTCATCACAAGGCAAGAAAATGGGGTACAGGCTTTGGAGTCAGGTAAAGCTGGTTTCTAACCTCAACATCTGAACGAATTCTGTTTGAAAGCCTCAGGTCATACTTAACACAGCGCATGGCATGTAATAAAAATGAAAAACATGGAGCTTCTGAAGGTGCTAGTAATACCACTGGTTAGTAGTGCTAACAGCAGTGGGCTGGCAGCTCCGGCCCAACCACAGCAGTTCTGGAGGTTGACGGCGAGGAGGCACCAACACAGATGCCAGTGGGCCCGGGAACAGGCTGGGCAAGGAGCAAGCTACAGTGTGGGAGCTGCAGGCTTCAGGAACAGCCTAGGTGGGGAAGCACAGGACAGGGCCTACCTCCTGCCTGCTCACTCTCTGCTGAAGCCCTCTCTTCCTCTCCCCAACACCTGGCTGCCCCCTCTTTCCTGGAGCAGCAGGCTCGTAGGCATTGAGCCCTGGAAATAGCCCATCCCCAGAACCTGGGACTCCAGAAAGCTATCCCCACCGAGAGGACTGGAGAAGGACCCCTCTCTCCCCATCCCTGTGCAGACGTGAGACCCGTCACAGAGGTCCCCCACCCCAACACAGAGTGAGGGTGTACAAGGCTTTATTGGCTTAGTTCCAGGCACTGAGCATCAGTGGGGGGCTCTCCACTGCTCCTGGCTCTGCCTCAACTGTCCTCTCCATGGGTCTCCAGGGCCTCCATCTGCCTCAGCTGCTTTGCTTCCTCCCAGCTAACCCTCCAGCAGGGGCCATCCCCAATGACAGACACCTCTCGTGGAGTCAAAGTTGCCAGGGACCCCTGTGGGGCCTGAGGAAGAAGAGATTTGGGCGGCATCTCACTCTGGGTCCCATGGCCCAGGAGAGAAAACAGGCCTGCATGTGTGTGCCAGCCCTGCTGGGGGAAGGGGCGTCTCCGGCGATGGCTAGGTGGACTCAAAGGGGCCATAGGTCTGGTGGCTGCGGTTGGGCAGGCTGTGGCTGTGGTGGCTGGGGTGGCCTGGGTGATTCTGGTGGCTGTGGTGACCGTGGCCATGGAGGGCGTGTGAATGGTTCACACCCGCTATGTTAGCTTCCCGCTGGGTGAGGAAATTCCCTTTCAGCTTCAGCTCCACCTCCTCAAGTGCCTTCAGCTCATCCTGGTTGATGTCCTTGGTCTCCAGGTGACCCGTGTGCTGGTATGTGGAGGCGCGCTGCAGCATGGAGCTGGCCAGCTGCCGCCCCAGCGCGTCGATGTCCTTGGTGCAGGCGGACACGGCAGCCCACGTGGCTTCATCCGTGGAGGAAGATTTCCCAGTCTCCTTGTGGGTCTCTTTGATCATCGAGGTGCCTGACATCCGCTGCTTGCTGGTGAAGGACTCCCGGTGAAGAGTGGAGCTCCCCTGCTTCGAGGTGAAGGTCTCCACGCGGATGGTGGTGTTGGCCTCTCCGCTGCCACTGTCTGGCTGGGGGCCAGTGCTGCTCCTGCTGGGGGCTGTGGCCATGTTGCTGCAGGTAGCCAGCTTCTCCTCCGAGAGACGGCTAAAGTGAGATTTGATCCAGCTCTCATTCTTTGTTCTGGGGCCTTCTGGCAGCTCCTGCTCCTCCGGTACAGACTCGGGGGCTGTCTTCCTTCTCCTCTTCCTATGAGCCCACAGTATGAAGCTTCCACCTCCGAGGAGTAGGAGGGTCCCCAGCACCACCTTGCATGATGGTTGCTGGACAAACTCCAGGAAGGTCTCCAGGACCCCACGCCACGCAGGCAGAACTAAGAGCACACTGGGAGTGGGGGAGCCCAGGTGGTATGGCTCATGCTTGGGAGGGCCAGGCTCCCAGAGGGTGTCTGGCAGGCGGTGTCCCCTGTCCACCCCTTCCTAGGGTGCCCCTCCCTACTCAGCAATGGGCCCCATTGTGAGGAAGGCGGTTGGGGGGCAGGGTGGGGAAAGGCCACAGCATCCCTCAAGTCCAGCCAGGCAGGCATCTCCCTTAAGTCTTGTCCTGAGGCCTTGGACCTACCTCCCTCCCTGACAACTGTTCCCAAGGCCAGTGGGAGGGCAGCTACCCCAATTCTGACTCCCTTCTCATCTTCCAATCTTTTCTCCTCTCCCTCCCCATGTGGTGGCCCCCAGGGACAGGCCATTAGGCTGACCATCACTGAAGGACCCTCTTAGCTGGTCTAGCACCTGAGGTACAAGTTTCCCTCGGTCAGTTTTGCACATTCCATCTCTTCTGCAGCCCCCAATCTCATAACAGATCAGGGTTCAGAGGAAAGGGGCCCAGGAGGGAGTTCATTCTGGAATAACATGAGGTCACAATTGTAGGGAAACAAGCAAGGGACTGAGAAGCAGAGGGCCGAGGGCAGAGGACTTCCCTAGGGCGCAGGTCCCCTCTCCTGGATGGGGGCTGCTACCTCTTGTTTTCATGAGGAAAACCTGCAAACTCAAGATGAGGCCCCCCCCCCCCACCCATCATGGGCACAGTTCAGGCTGTGAGCAGAAGGCCAACCCACCAGGCTCTCCTGGCCCATAATCCCTAGTGAGACCCAGGTTTTCTCAGAGGAAAAACAAGCCTGGATCACCCTAGTTTTCCCCCCTCACTCCCACCACTGTTCCCGAGCCATATAACACAGGTTTTTGAATGAAGAAATGCCAAAGAAAAGTTGCAAAAATTGTGATATTTTACACAAAATATTTGCTTGAACAATACACAAAAACATTACACCTTACAGCAAAGATACTGTTTCTCACAAGAAACCTTGGTCTACTCTACATACTAAAGGAATAAGACACCAGCTTATTCCTTTAAAGCTTCGTGAGGAACAGCATTTCCCTAGTCCTGCTGCAGTAGGTCATTAGTGGGTCATCCACTAATCTCATTTGGAAATCACAATTCAAAGTTCATCTTTGAGGTTGTTTGTGGGTGTGAGTTCAGGGCCACAGGGCCCTTCTGCAACAATCCCACAGCCAGTCTCTAGTTATAATTGTTATTTTAAAAGAACACTCTTGATTCAGGTAATTAGTACAATGCTTTAAAGAAAAATAAAAGGAGGGAGGTTGTTTGGGATAAGCCTTCCAGAATAATCTCCAACTGTTCCCTGATTCAAGAGAAGTCTCCTGCCTCCTCTTTGAGACCTTGCAGTGAGACAAGTAGTGTTTCCTTTTTCTGTCACTGACTGTTGGCCTGTAATGTCTGCCCCAATGGCTAGGGTGGGGCAGGTGAGACTTCAGCACTTACGTTGTCCAGTGCTTCTTGTATGGCTGTGTACTGGGAACAGTGTCAGGACCTGTGACTGTTAGAGTCCTCAGCAAGACTACAGGGAACCTTGTGGCTCAAACTCCCCCAATGAGTGTTTTTATTGTAGAATGTTTTAAGAGGATTTACGAGGTCCAGTGCATTCCCCCCAAGATCCCTGTAACTGGCATAACCAAGATTCTAACTCTAGATGCTGGGCTTTTGCTACACAGCCCACGTATGTGAGAGAGAAGTGGGGCGAGGGGCACTGCATGGGACTAGCAGATACTGTGGCCATGGCCTGCCAAGTCCACTGTTGCCTGTGCTCTGGGTTCCCTGATGCCCTTCACAGGGATGGGCTTGTGGATAGCTGTGGAGGGTGCAGAGCAGAGGCTTAGGGGTCTCCATGAGTGCAGGCAGACACCAGGCACCAAGTCCCTGCACTGGGGTGTCCTTGAACTCAGAAGGTGAAGCTGAGTTCTCCCTCTTAGAAGATGCTTCTCCTTTTGCCTCAAGGGATCCAGGCTGTGGCCCCAGACCTCAGTCCTCAATAAGCCAAGTCCCAGAAGAAATTAGTTGGTATCACTGTTCAGTGTGGGGGTCCACAGGGCATTCGCTGCCCCCAGGGAAAGTCACATCCTGTAGCACTGAGCTATAAATGACATTGGTCAGGCCAGTGGTCACTGTTACAAAGCAACTGTGGCCACGGTCATCTTACAATAATGGTTATCACTTGACCAATATCTGCTGGTGTATCTCACACTTCAGAATTTGCAGCAAGCTTTCACTTTCTCTCAGATTTTTCTCCCAATCATCCTGTGACCTAGGCATTACAACTCCATGAGGAGGCTGAGGCTTGGCAAGATTGTCTCAGCCAAGTCAGTGCCAGAGCTGAGATGTGAGTCCAGACCCCATATTGCTTTTTTTTAAAGATTTATTTATGTATGTATACAAGATCTGAGGTGTAGGCCAGAAGTGTGAGGGGTTAAAGGATTCACCAGAGATACAGGTGGAGAACAAGCAGATGACCGAAATACACTGCTGAGGGGAACAATGAATGAGACAGGAGAGGTCTGTCACGCTATGTGGGTCAGCTCCCTGGCCAGGGACCAAACTCAGGCCATAACAGCTGGTGACAGCTTGATTGTGTTGAGATTTAACCCCTGCACCCCCCAGGAGGCTCCTAGACCCCATGTTCTTTTTTTTTTTTTTTAAGATTTATTTATTTGTGCACACAGAACTGGGGTAGAGGCCAGAGGCTCAGGGGCGGTGAGAGGCTTCACCACAGACAGAGTGGGGAGCAGAACAGGCTGACCTACGAAGTACACTGCTGAGGGGAGCAGCGGGCGGGTCAGGAGAGGTCTGCCACGCCATGTGGTCACCTCCGGGGCAGGAGGGAATCGAACTCATGCGGAAGTGGCTTTAGCTTCTCAGTGCTGTGCTTTAACCGGCTGCACCACCAGGGAGGGCCAGACCCCATGTTCTTAACTGCTTCTCCACATGGCATCAGTTAGAGCCACTCAGTCCCCAACTATTTGCTGGTGCAGTGACTCAGCAGTCGCTCAGGGGGATAAAACCAGCATGGAAACAGACCAGACCTCAAACTGCAGCTCAGCAATGCACAAGCTGCAAGGCCTCGTGCCATGACTGTCACTTGGAGACTCAGCTCCCATCTGTGAAATGGGGTTATTGTGAGTCCTGCCTCTGGGCCCAATCCTGGATGGTGGAGGGAACAGGCAGGCAGGGGTTCGCATACCTTCGTTTATGGTGCCAACGACTGTATGTATGTCAGATCACAAAGATGATCTGGCCCCTGCCCTCAGAGAAGGGAGGTCCAAGTGTAAAGGGGGAAACAAGTCAGAGCATCTGGAGCAGGAGGAATTAATTCTTCACCCAGAAGGGAGTGTGCAAGCAAGGCTCTGAGGGAGACGAGCCAGCTGACTGAACACCAGGTGCTGGTGCCATTCACACCTGCAGAGTCTACAAGGACTTTCACACCCTTTGTTAGTGTGAGCCCCACAATGACACAGCCAGGGGACTCTCACAGTTTACAAACTAAGAGGGGAAACTGAGGCAGGCAGATGCAGTCCTAGGTCACAGGCCACAGGGAGCTACCTTCCTGTCTCCTTAGTCCAGCCAGGCCCCCCCTTCCTCTCCCATACTAAAATGACCCCCATTTGTCCACTATCCAGGGCAGGCCAACAGAGCCTCTTGTCCCTGGCTGAGGAGATGCGTCATCCACATGTCCCACGACTCACATGAACAGACCCCACTTACCTCGGAAAGGGAGGGTGCCCAATTTGTGCAGATTCTCCTCCAGTTTCCCATAGTCCACCTCTGCCGTAGCAGTGAAGGGGGTGGTCACAGGAGGGTAGATGCCCGCAATGTCTACCTTCCTCCCCTCCCCTGAGGGCCAGCTCCCCACTTTCTTGGATAAGCCCCTGCTCAGCCCTGGCCTCACAGAGGACCAGACTCGGGGGCCCAGCATCTCTGCAGGAGGCCCGAGGCCCAGCTTGTCTCTGCCCCCAAGTGAGACTGAGTTTGCACTCTTTCCTAGCCCTGTTAATAATCAATGTGTCTAGTTAAAAATTGGCTGCCCCCTGACTGATGGGCACGGGGTAGACCTGGGCTGGTTGCCCCCAGGTCAGAGGCCAGGCTGATAGGCGCCAGGGGGGTCTTCCCTCCACGTGGGGAGCAGCTGGATACGTGCCACAACCCAATGTCCCTCTGACTGGCCGAACAGCAGACCGCTGGGGTACCAACGCGAAGGGACGTCCCCAGTGGGCCTGGGCACTCCTCCCGCAATTCCCAGCCAGGAGCCCACCAGCTTCCGCGTGGCGCTCCTGCGGTGGGCGGCGGTCGGGGGCGCCCATTGGCTGAGCGGGCCCTGCCCCGTGGGAGGGGTGGCAGCGCGGCCTGTGATTGGCCACCCTCGGCTGCCCCGCCCCCGCAGACTCCTCCTGCCACGGCTGTCACGTGACAGGCCAGTGCTGACCACAGCTAGAGTGATTGATTGGTCGCAGGAGCTGGAGGTTTGAGGGTTGGGGTTGGGGGAGGAAGAAGCACGGGCAAAGCAGCCCGAGGGTGCAAAGTTCCCCTCCTCCTGGAGCCCCCCCCACCCCCCGCCCTTGTCCACCCACCCTTCATTCCCAAATATTTCAGTCACAAACAAAAACAAATGTAAAAATTACTTTTTTTAATTTCAGTAGCTCATGGGAGCCCGTCAGTCACACACAGAGGAATTGGCTGGGTCCCCAGCGCTAGGGCCAGCCTCTCTTGTGCCCTCTGGCCGAACGCAGGGGGCCTGGGAGAAGGAGGGTACCCCCTGGGCTGGAGCAGGCACTACTGGGTTGGCACAGGTTGGGAGGTCTCCTGCCCACTCTCAGCAGGTCCCGCCAGCCCATTCTGCTCTGCCCCTGGCTCAGGGTGCTCCAGAGCTTGCCGGGTGTCAGCTTGCCACAGCTGCACAAGATCTGTGGGGGTCTTTCCTGCCTGGGGGAGCCAAGAGGGGATCTGGTCACTGTTCAGAAGTCTGTACCAGGAGATGCCCTTATGTGTATGTCAGCGGTTCCCAAGCAGGGGCAGGTGACAATGTCTGGAGGTATTTGTAGTTGTCTCGACACAGGGGAGGATGCTGCCAGCATCTTGAGTAGGAGCCAGAGATGCTGCTAAACACCCTACAATGTGCAGTCCCTCACAACAAGAAATTCTTCAGTCCCAAATGGCAATAATAATAGGGCTGAGAAACCGTCGTCTATACCCTCCCTGTGTCTTCATGACTACTGACCCTCTTGCTGACCCTCCTGGCTGTTTCTCTGCACTGGTACTTGGGACATAGACCCACATAGAGAGACCTAGAAAGGTGGCAGACAGAAAGACCCTTCTCTGTGAAAGGGTGCCGAGGGCAGAGCTCTGTTCTGTGTTTCCTCTGAAAACCTAGTCCAGGGCCTGGGCAGCCATGCACACTGATTACTGCTGCAGGGGAGAAAGAAGCTCACCAGGTTTTTGGCCATCATGTCAGCCCCATGCAGGAGCAGCAGTTTGATGATTTTGTAGCGGTTGAGTCTCACTGCATCATGCAGGGCGCTGTCCCCTTCCTAGAGCCAGAGTGACAGCAGTCAGCATAACCCTGTGGGCCTGGGGAGTCCTCGGGCTGCCCGCACACCCCTCCCCGTGGGGCTGGGCAGCAGGGGAGGCGACACTCACTCTGTCTTTGGCATTGATATCCTGGCCCAGCGATAGAAAGTACTCCACGACCTCCACATGCCCTGTCCGGACCGCCACGTGCAGTGGGGTGCTCAGCAGCTGGGAGGGGAGGAAATGGGACTGAGGGGCCTGGACTGTGCCTCTGGGAGGGGAACTGTCCTGCCTCCAGCCTAACCCCCTCCCCCAGCCCTAGTGGCAAGGCCTGAGCCCTGCAGGGACAGGGATTGTTACTGTTCTCACTATCCTACCAGTGGCCTAATTCTAAAGCATTAGAAGACACCTCCTTTAAGCAGCCTTCCGCGATTCCTCTGTTACCTAACTGCAAGCAACTGCTCAGTCCTCTGCTCTTCCTTTAATAATTCTAATAGGTGCCGTTTTTGGAAGATGATTGTGTGGGACACGGCGAAACTTACAAAACATTAGCTTCAGGTTGAAAAAAGAGTTTAAATAGATTTCCCCACCCGTCTATATAAAGATTCTGCAAGATACTTTGCAGAAGAGGAGCAGAGGCTCAGAGACTGTCACTTGTTCAAAGTTACACAAAAAATTGAATGGATAGATGAATATATAACTGAACCAGTAAATGAATGGATGGGTACATGGGCAGGCAGATAGACAGAAGAATGAAAGATTGCCTGGATGGACAAATCCTGCATCTTCCGGGTGGTCCCCAAGCCCCCAAGGAGTGAATTTCTTCTCTGCTCTTCCTGCAACCATCCCAGATGGTGACCCCAAGGGCCTGCAGTTGATGCCAGAGACCCACCCCTGGCCTCTGTGGCCACTCCACAGAGTAGCTTCCTACCTTCCTGCCTTCCTGGGTTTTTCTCCCCCCCACAGACACCCCAATATTTGGTAGCATTCCTCACCTTATCCCTCACATTGGTGTCTGCTCCTCGGCTTCGCAGGAGTTTCACCACCTCCAAGTGGCCCCCTCGGCAGGCCCAATGCATGGCTGTGCAGTCCAGCTAAAAGGGAAGGCTGAGGTCCTACCGTTTCGGGGATGGGGGGGGGGACTGCCCCAGAGAGAAGGAGTCTGCCACATGCCCAGGGAGAGGAGAGGGGCTCTTCTGAGCATGGGAAATGAGGCACGTGGAGCAGAACCCTGGTGCTTGTGTAGCCCGAGCCAGGTTCCAGGAGAGGGTCGAGAGGAGATAGGGCTGCCAAGATGGTACAGCCCGCTAGAGGGCTGTGCCTGAGGCAACTGTCAGGCCCAGGCTGTGACCCAGAGAGGGAGTCTGGATCCCACCTCCCGCCGCCCACCTAACACCTGCCCACTAGCTTACCCTGTCCTGGAAGTCCACAGTGGCCCCACTCTCCAGGAGCTTCTCCAGGATCTCCAGGTGGCCCTCCAGGGAAGCTCGGTGCAGGGCTGTCCGGCGGAACTGTCCCCAGAGACACTGTCAAGGCCTGACTTCTGGTCCCAAGCCTAAGCCCATCTGCCATGCAGGCTGAGCCCCCGGCCTGGATTCTGACCCCGGCATGGGTGCCCAGATTGTTTGTGTTCTGCCAGCTCCTTCATGCTCTAGGGAGACCTGCCTTAAAGCCTTCCCATGCCCTGGGGACACTGACTTTCTCCATGTCCTCCCACCCTCACCCCTCAGGCACACATGAGTTGTTGCCTCTGCCAGGAATGTCATTTTGCCCTTACTTGGTTCTTGATAAATTCTTGCTACGATGCAGTTCAAGTGCTATCATCTCATTTCAGTCTGTAGGTCAGAGCTATCCCAGAGACCCAGACAGCCCTCCACTGTCAGAAGCTAGTCTCATGGGCTCCATTTCCCAAATGCCTAGCCCAGGGGCAGGATGGGTAAGTGTGGCCTGACTCCTGATTCAAGGAGGGAACAGACTTCCTCCCTTCCCACAGGGGAGGCTGCTTTGCTCTTGAGCACACAGCTCGCCGGTGCCTGGCCGTGTGATGGTCTTGTCAACTCTCACCCTGTCTTTTTCTTGTTTGTACTCCCAGCACCTAGCACAGTGCTTGGCCATAGGAGGTGCTTGAGTAGGTCCTGGGCCTAAGAATGGAGAGGATATATATAGTCTAACCCTACAATAGGCACACGGAAGGGGTGACCGTTAATTTGCTGAATCCCAGAGCATGGACACAAAAGGCACCCTAGGAAGAGTGATAGAGGAAAACCAAAAGAAATACAACGGGGATCAAACTGTTTTGAAAATAGAAAATGGGGTTTGTTGCACAACATTAGGAGTATAATTGATGCCGCTGAATTTACACTAAAATATTTTAAGTGCCCTATTTGTGTTATATATATTTTACCACCATAAAATAAAAATAATTTTTAAAAGAAATATATGTACCACTAGACATAAAAATATAGCACCCTAATAGGTGTTTGTAGGGTTTTCTTCTTTCATTCAGTACAGTTTATCAAAACACTGATTTTCCATTTGACCCCCCTTAACATGCTCTGAGGGGAGCAGGCTGTTTTACAGAGGAGGAAACTGAGGCAGGGCAGGGGGATAGGACTGGCCACAGTCACATGGCTGAGCAGTGGCAGAAACAGGAACCCCAAACTCTTGGTTTGGGACTTAGTGGACTTTTTCTCTCTTTTCTTCCTTGAGAAAACCATGTGACATCTGTTACTCTCCAAGTGACTCAAGCTGAAAAGTGTCAAAGGATAGACACTTTCTACATTCCTGTGTGGGACAGGGAGCCGGCAGATCCTCCCAGGCCCCCTTTCTGAAGTACACCAAGGCCTCTTCTTGCACAGGCCCACATGGGTGCGTGAGGGTGAGAGGCAGAGAAGCGGGCGGGCTGGAACATCACCTGATCGCAGGTGTCCGCGGGACCCCCATCCGCCAGGAACTTCTCAACGACCTTCAGTTTCCCCTCCACTGCTGCCTTCAAGAATGTCTCCTCCTCCACAGGGCCAGCCTGCAGGGCAAACATGCGGGCGTGAGGCTGGGCGCTGACCCAGACCCTTGCCCACGCAGGTGTCCTCCCCAGGGCACTTACGACCTCCTCGGGCTCAGCAGGTGAATCCTGGGGGGCAGTCAGGGCTTCCCGCTTCTTCTGCTTGCGCTTTTTCCGCAGCTCGATGAGGTGCTGGATCCCGCCCACATCGATGATCTCCCTCCGCAGGTCCAGGGACGTCTTTCGCACCCGCTCTTGGCCCTGGTGGAGATCACCCATCAAGCCCCAGCTGGCGCGGGGAGTTTGAGGAGCCTGGGGGAACCCTGAGTCAGCTGGAGGGGGAGAATACTAGACCTCAAGAGAGAATGAGTCCAGGTCTAGCACTCACGGGTGCTACTAGAAGCAGGTGAGGCTGGACACAGATGGGTCAGCTGGGGAGGAGAGGCCCAGGGGGCCTTCTGCCTGAGATATCCGGCAGGGAGGGGATTTGGGGATTTGGCGGAGGGGATCTCAGAGGTGGTTCTCAGCTAAACCTTAAGAACAGGGTTCAGGGGCCTCCCTGTCACCTGCCAGGGAGCTGACCCACAGGGTGCACAGACTTCTCCTATCTTGCCTGCTACTCCCTTCAGCAGTGTATTTCAATAGATCTACCTGTTCTGCTCCCCACGCTTTCTCTGGTGAATCCTTTCACTCACAGTCCCCCCACCGCTGGCCTGCACCCTAGCTCTTGTATGCATA